GGAAACTGTAGACCAGCATCTCTCGTTAATCCAGATGTAAAAACAGTAAACAATGGCTGGGCATAGTACCTCACATCTGTAATCCCAGCACTTTGGGAGGTCGAGAGATCGAGACCATCCTGGTCAACATGGTGAAACCCCGTCTCTACTAAAAATACAAAAATTAGCTAGGCATGGTGGCGCGTGCCTGTAATCCCAGCTACTCAGGAGGCTGAGGCGGGGGAATTGCCTGAACCCAGGAGGCGGAAATTGTGGTGAGCCAAGATCGCGCCATTGCACTCCAGCCTGGGTAACAAGAGCAAAACTCCGTCTCAAAAAAAAAAAAAGAGATGGAGACCATCCTGGCCAACATGGTGAAACCTTGTCTCTGTTAAAAATACAATAATTAGCTGGATGTGGTTCTGCATGCCTGTAGTCCCAGCTACTCAGGAGGTTGAGGCATGAGACTCTGTCTCAAAAAAAAAAAAAGTAAACAAAATTTTAGCAAATCGGGTCTAGCAGTATATAAAAAGATGGGACATCATGACCAGGTAGGTTAGATTCCTCCCAGAAATGCAAGTTTGCCTCAACAATTGAAAATCGGTCAATGCAATTAACCATATTAACAGAACAACAACAAAAACACCACATTATCATCTCAATAGAGGCAGAAAACATTTCTGACGAAATTTAATACTAGCAGCCAGCACGGTGGCTCGCACCTGTAATCCCAACACTTTGGGAGGCCCAGGTGGGTGAATCACCTGAGGTCAGGAGTTCAAAACCAGCCTAGCCACATGGTGAAACCCTGTCTCTACTAAAAATGCAAAAATTAGCCAGATGTAGTGGCATGTGCCTGTAGTCCCAGCTACTCAGAAGTCTGAGGCAGGAGGATTGCCTGAGTCCAGGGAGGTCAAGGTTGCAGTGAGCCATGATCATGCCACTGCACTCCAGCCTGGGTGAGAGTGAGGGTCTGCCTCAAAAAAATAAATAAATAAATAACTACTTGTGATAGTTGGGTGTGGTGGCTCAAGCCTGTAATCCCAGCACTTTGGGAGGCCGAGGAGGGTGGATCACGAGGTCAAGAGATCGAGACCATCCCGGTCAACATGGTGAAATCCCATCTCTACTAAAAATACAAAAAATTAGCTGGGCACGTGGTGCCTGTAATCCCAGCTACTCCGGAGGCTGAGGCAGGAGAATTGCCTGAACCCAGGAGGCGGAGGTTGCAGTGAGCCGAGATCACGCCATTGTACTCCAGCCTGGGCAACAAGAGCGAAACTCCGTCTCAAAAAAATAAATAAAAAATTTAAAAAATAAATACTTGCGATAAAGTTTTCAGTACACTGGGTGACAGAGTGAGACTATGCCCCCTGCACCAAAAATAGTTTTAAAAAAGAAGTTAGACACAAAATACTACATACTACTTTATTTATTTATTGAGACAGAGTCTCGCTCTGTCGCCCAGGCTGGAGTGCAGTGGCAAGATCTCCGCTCACTGTAACTTCTGTCTCCCGGGTTTAAGTGATTCCTGCCTCAGCCTCCCAAGTAGCTGAGATTATAGGCGCCCGCCATCATGCCAGGCTAATTTTTAAAAATACTACATACTCTATGATTCTATTTATACAAAATTCTAGAAAAGGAAAATCTAGAGGCTGGGCACAGTGGCTCAAGCCTGTAATCCCAGCACTTTGGGAGGCCGAGGCAGGTGGTCGAGAGATCGAGACCATCCTGGTCAACACGGTGAAACCCCGTCTCTACTAAAAATACAAAAAATTAGCTGGGCACGGTGGTGCGTGCCTGTAATCCCAGCTACTCAGGAGGCTGAGGCAGGAGAATTGCCTGAGCCCAGGAGGTGGAGGTTGCGGTGAGCCGAGATCGTGCCATTGCACTCCAGCCTGGGTAACAAGAGCGAAACTCTGTCTCAAAAAAATTTAAAAAAAAGAAAAGGAAAGGAAAATCTATAGTGATAGATCAGTGGTTGCTAGGCTTCAGGTAGGGGAAGAAGCTTGACTACAAAAGGCCACAAGGGAACTTTCTGGAATGTCAAAATGTTTATTCTATGTCATGAGTGTGGTTTTGGTTACACGACTGTATACATTTGCCAAATCTTACCGAACAGCGCAATGAAAATTAATGAATTTTACTGTATGCTAATCATATCTTCATAAAGCTGGAAAACAAGTCATCCTGTAGCTGCTGCTGCAGTGACCTGAGGAACGTGCATGCAGGGACAGCACGAAGAAGTCAGACTGCGAAACCCCGAGGCAATCACCCCCACAGCCCACTGAAGCAACTGCAGAACTCGGCCTCTGGGAAGGAAACAGGGAGGGGCCCCTGCCTTAAAAAAAAAACCTCTGCAGACTTGCCAGGGAACCGCCTCCTGCCTGACTCTCACATGATGACCTGGAAGCCTCAACACTCACATACCCACACCCTCATACACACACACACACGCTCACACACACACACACCTTCACATGCACACACCCTTGTACAGGCACACACACATGCACACACCGTCACACAGGTACACACCTTCACACACACCCTCACATACATACATGCACATCCTCACACATGCACACATTCTCAAACACACTCATATGCCCACACCTCACATGCACACACACCCATGCACACCCCACACACACACACCTTCCCACACACCCTCACAAGCACACACCCTCACACACACACATTCTCTGTGAGAGCTGTTCCTGTTGACAGGCACTTGGCTCCTTCGTCCTTCCCACTGCCCACAGACTCTGCCATCTGCACATGTGCCCCTCCCACACAATTGGGGGCCTCCTTCTCCATGTCCTTGGCTGCCTCCTCTTTGTCTTCCACCCCTTACAAACACTTCAGGGCCTTTTAAATGCCTTTTCCACCTGTCTCCTTCCTCCAGCCCCACTGCCCAGTGTTAAGTGGGTCACACCATTTCTCTCCTGGGTGACAGCCATACCCTCCACCAGCCTCACTGCCTCCACTCTTCTCTGCACAAGCCCATGTGCTCCTGGGGCAGGGCCCAGGTCCTTCCATCTCTGCAGCCACAGTGCTGGGCCAGCAGCACTTGCAGTTGGTGAGTGGACGGTTCTAATCAGGGGAACTGCTGGATAGAGAGGGACAAACAATGTCCCTCCAGTCTGCCTCCTGTCCTATTCTGCTCAGACACTGGGCTGGGAGATCAGTGGCCATGCCTTGGCCCTTTCTGCGAGTCTTAGAGGGACCAGTGAGAGGCATGAACAGTGGGGGACTGTGCTGGCAGGAGTGGGGGCCTGGCACGCCCCCAGGTAGATGCCCTGCCTTTTTTTTTTGAGACAGAGTCTCGCTCTGTTGCCCAGGTTGGAGTGCAATGGCACAATCTGGGCTCACTGCGACCTCCACCTTCCAGGTTCAAGCAATTCTCCTGTCTCAGCCTCCCCAGTAGCTGGGATTACATGTGGGCACCACCATGCCCAGCTAATTTTTTTGTATTTTTAGTAGAGATGGGGTTTCATCATGTTGACCAGGCTGGTCTCGAACTCCTGACTTCAAGTGATCTGCCTGCCTCAGCCTCCCAAAGTGCTAGGATTACAGGCGTGAGCCACCACGCCTGGCCCCACTCTGCCCCTGTTAACGCCAGAGGGAAGGGGCTTGGGGCAGCCTGGTGCCATCCCTGCTGACTAACGTGGACCTGGCATGAATCAGCACAGTCTGCCCATCTTTTTCAGCACCCAAGGGGTGGCTGCCCAGGGCCTATCTCCTGGCACAGCTTCATGCAGTGCCCGCCTGTGTGTGACTGTGTCCTTCAAGCCCTTGCCATGGTGGCTCTCAGTTCCTCCTGGGAATCCTGGCAGAGCAGAGTAATGCTGGGTCCTGGTCTGGCTTCTTGCATCCCAGAGGAGACCGCCATGGGGGGCCCTTTTCCAGACTCTTTCCCAATTTAACAACAGGAAGTGAGGAGTCCAGGGGGCAGTGATTACCACAGGCCTGGCCACATTGCTAGGGGAGGCCCCAGCCCACTGCTGAGATCCAGCCCTGTACAGCCTTGTTCGGGCAGAGAAACTGATAAGGAGACGGTTGCCTGCTCACCCCAAAAGGCTGGCATGGATTCCTCTGCCCAGCCAGCTTTAGACAGAGAGAAAAAGGCTTTCCCACAACCCTGCCAGTCCTCAGCCCTGCCCATCTTATCACCATAGTTTACCCTCAATCACCAAGTCCCATTGCACAGAAGGGGAAGCAGGTGTTGAGAATCGGCATGGCCTGTTCAGGGCCACACTGCTGGGCATGGACCAAGCAGGGGCTGGAGCCTTGCTTGCTTCCCAAGCCAGGGTCCCCAAATTCTCTGCCAATTGAGGGAGGCCATGTCCCATTCCATTGATCTGGGTGCCATTAGGAAAGCCATTTCTGGACTTCTAGGCTAGTGACAACGTGTGGTTATTGGGAACAGCACAAGCATGTGGAATGGTGTGCGGGTGTGTGCATGTGTGTGGTGTGGTATATGGCTGTGTGGTGTGTGCTATATGGGGTGCATGGTGTGGTGTGTGTGTAGCATATGGGTGTGTGGTGGTGGGTGAGTGTGTGGTGTGTAGCTGTGTGGTGTGTGTGCAGCGTGGCATGGTGTATGGGTGTGTGGTGGGTGCGCATGTGTCTGTGATGTGTGGCTGTGGTGTGGTGTATGCATGGTGTGGTGTGTGTGTGTGTGGTGTCATAGTGGCAGGGGGTGGTGAGTGCCTAGCACTGTCTCTAGAAAATGGCCACCCTGTGTTCCCACCACCCTGACAGAGCCAGGAGGGGTAGGAAGGGGAGGCCTTGGCCACGGGCCAGACTTGAGCCAGGTCTGTGAGGTTGTTTTGGTCTCTGGCCTCACAGGCCAACAGAGAAGACACACAAACAGGAAGAAGTGGTTGCTCGCCAGGCCTGGGTGCGGGGTGGGGCGTAGTGGAAAGAGAACCACTGGGATGGGGGCTGGGGGGTGTGGGGCCAGGGAAGGAGAGAGGCCTTGGGGGAGGGAGGAGGAGGGCTCCCCTCTCAGGTCCCTGTACCTGAAACATGTTCAAGACATGAGCAAGCGACTCCGCATGTCTGTGGATGTGTCGTGCATGTGAGGGCATGTGTGGCGGGAGGGAGCCCTGAGCACAAGGAGGTCCCCAGTCCCTCTTCCAAGGACAGGTAGTTGCAGGTAGGGCAGGAGGAAGAGGGTGGGGGGGTCTCTCTGGATCTCACAGGGGTTCATGCAGCCTGACTTGGCCACCACCCCGCCCCTCCCTTTCCTGTTCCTCATCTCCGGCCAAAGTGGCCCTAATTGTGGAGGAGGAGGGGCCTGCATGGGTCTGGGAGGGGCCCAGCGACGGTGCTTTCACTCCCTCCTTGCCTGGGCCCAGCCAGAAGCAGAAGGACCCCAACTTGGGAAAGTGGCGTGAAGCTCCCATGAGAAAGCATCGCAGTCCTGGGCCAGACCACACTCTCTGGTCTGTTTCCCCACTTATAAAATGGCAATGCTGAACTAAGTAGCCTCACACAGCACTGCCGGGCCGGACAATCCAGCCAGGGTGTGTGCTAGGGTAAGGGTGGTATGGAGGCTACAGCAGTGGGAGGAGGGAGTCCTGGACCTGGACCAGGGAGGCCCTGGAGAAAGGAACGGAAACGGGAGGCCAGGGGGAAAGGAGGAGGAGGAGGAGGAAGTCCCCTCCTGGCCAGGTCACTCCCAGAGGCTGGGCTGGGCCAGGGCGGGGCAGCCGATGGAGAGCAGATCTGAGCACCCAGCCACCTTCACGCCACTGTCCAGCTGCCCAGGAGCCCGGGAGCCCAGCCAGGTAAGGGGCTGCGCAGGCCTGCCCCCCTCCCCGCCCAGTCCCCAGCCCTCCGATGGTGGCCTCTCTCGGCCTCTGTCAGGGCAGGGAAGTTCTGCATGTCTGCCTGGGTGCCGACTCCCAAACTCAGGGCTTGTGGGCTGCCTTCGGGTCCTGGGCACTGTGCGTCTGTCTGTCTGACCATCCCTCTCAATCTTCCCTGCCCAGGACTAGCCACACTCCCACCTCACACATGCACACACACCAACAGGTACTGGCCATGCTGGCACCTCTGTAAGGTCTCTCGTCCACAGACCCTGGGTCGTGGGGCTAGCCACTTGGGCAGAGGCTGAGTCCGCCCATCTCCTCCAGGCCCTCAGAACACCTGCCACAGCCCCACCATGCTCATGGCATCCACCACCTCTGGTAAGGCTTGTCCCCCATAAGCCAGGTGGGCACAGTGGGTTTGACGATGCAGGGAAGCTTCTCTTTCTAAAGGCCCTCTTTACCCTCGCCTCTGGGGTGCGCCTCTCCAGGCTGCCAATGATCGGGGGGAGGGTACTGCCCCATCTCCCTGCCAGGGCTGGGGCTGGGGCTGCCCTTCCTCCTGGACCACATGGGCCTGGGGTATGTATCCCCCGTAACATGGCTTTCCCGGAGTCCCCTCTGCTACGAGCTAGGAAGTGGGTCTCCGGAAGGAAGCAGGAGGCCCAGGTTAACCGCTGCCTTGGCCACTGGCCCTGGCAGAACTGGAGTTCCCCTGCACAGCACCCTCTCTAACCAGGCCCTCTCCCTGACCCCTGCCCAGCTGTGCCTGGGCATGCCTCTCCACCCAGCCTGCCCCGCAACAGCAGCCAGGAGAGGCCACTGGACACCAGGGACCTGCTGCTGGCCCGGGCAGAGCTGGCATTGCTCTCCATAGTCTTTGTGGCCGTGGCCCTGAGCAACAGCCTTGTGCTGGCGGCCCTAGCACGGCGGGGCCGGCGGGGCCACTGGGCACCCATGCATGTCTTCATTGGCCACTTGTGCCTGGCCGACCTGGCTGTGGCTCTGTTCCAAGTGCTGCCCCAGCTGGCCTGGGATGCCACCGACCGCTTCCATGGGCCGGATGCCCTGTGTCGGGCCGTGAAGTATCTGCAGATGGTGGGCATGTATGCCTCCTCCTACATGATCCTGGCCATGACACTGGACCGCCACCGTGCCATCTGCCGTCCCATGCTAGCTTACCGCCATGGAGGTGGGGCTCACTGCAACCGGCCAGTGCTGGTGGCTTGGGCCTTCTCGCTCCTTCTCAGCCTGCCCCAGCTCTTCATCTTCGCCCAGCGTGACGTCGGAAATGGCAGCGGGGTCATTGACTGCTGGGCCAGCTTTGTGGAGCCCTGGGGCCTCCGTGCCTACGTCACCTGGATTGCCCTGATGGTGTTCGTTGCGCCTACCCTGGCTATCGCCGCCTGCCAGGTCCTCATCTTCCGGGAGATTCATGCCAGTCTGGTGCCAGGACCATCAGAGAGGACTGGGGGGCGCCGCCCGGTATGCCACACAGGCAGCCCCAGCGAGGGAGCCCGTGTGTCAGCAGCTGTGGCCAAGACTGTGAGGATGACGTTGGTGATTGTGGTCGTCTATGTGCTGTGCTGGGCGCCCTTCTTCCTGGTGCAGCTGTGGGCCGCGTGGGACCCAGAGGCGCCTCGAGAAAGTGGGTGTAGCCATGGCTAGGGCTGTGGGGGGCCACTCGGGCTTGGCAGCGTGCTTCCATGCACCGCCAGCTGTCCTGAGCCCAGCCTGGATCCCCCCACCTCCACAGGGCCACCCTTCGTGCTGCTCATGTTGCTGGCCAGCCTCAATAGCTGCACCAACCCCTGGATCTACGCATCCTTCAGCAGCAGCGTCTCCTCGGAGCTGCGCAGCTTGCTCTGCTGTGCCCAGAGGCGCACCCCACCCAGTCTGGGTCCCCAGGATGAGTCCTGCACCACCGCCAGCTCCTCCCTGGCCAAAGACACTTCATCCTGAGGAGTTGTTGGGTGTCTTGCCTCCAGAAGCTTTGAGAAGCTCAGCTGCCTTCCTGGGGTCCCCTGGGAGGGGGACCCATGGAGAACCGGCCAGAGCCTGTGGCCCTGAGCTGGCACATTGTGTGGCCCTGGACAAGCCGCAGTCCCTGCCTGGGTCTCCATACCCTTAGCTGCATGAGGAAGGCCTCAGGCCCCAGAACTGTGGGGGCCTCAGGTCAGCTCACCGTGCTGGGTGTGGGAGGGCTGCAGCAGAGGGCTGAGGAGCAGGTGCCCCCAGGTGAGAGAGTGGTCCCGGGGGCCTTCTAGTCTCTGCCTCTCTAATCTCTCCCTTCCTCCCTAATAAAAGTTGCAGCTCATCCTCCACATGGTGAGGGGTCTCCTTGGATCAGGGTAACAGTGGTTGTGGAGGCAGCACAGAGACATACACAGACCCCCCCACAGACCCACAGTCACGTGCACAGCTACGGAACCCGTGGCGCAAGCGGCCAAGCCTTCAAAGCTGCAGGGGACACTTCTCCAGCCTCCAGCACCCACCTGTCTACCCCGAGACAGAGAGCTGGCTCCCATCAGGGAGTCAACACACAGGTCTTTATGAATCACAACGCAGTTCTGCCAGGCATCTGAGCGAGGGCACCCGCCAACCAGCAGCCACTGACCAGCCCTCCTCAAAGTCGTAGAAGAGGGTTTCCCCAGCCTCCTTCCTCAGCTGCCTCCCAAAGGGGCCTGGGCCAGGGCTGAAGGGCAGGCAGGGTATGGGGTGGGCATCCCTATACAGTTGACTCATCCCACCTCTCTGCATAGGGTGAAGTGCAGGAATCCTGCACTTGCTGGCAAGGGCTGGAGTGAAGCAAGGGGGCCAGGGAGAGTGGCTGGCCCAGCACCTCAGTGTGGCTTGGGGGTTGAGTCCAGACCCTGGGGGTGGGACACTGAGAGTGAGGCTGGGGCCCCAGGGTCCTGGGAGAAGCCTTTGTTCCTTCCCAGGCGGCTGCTGACCGGGGCCTTTGGGCTTCGGGACCCAGGGCTGGGAGAGGTGACAGGTGCTGGCCCAAGGCCCTGGCGGGCGGAGGCCTTTCCCAAGAGCTCCTTAAACACAGAGCCCATGTTCTGCGCCACAGCCTAATGCAGGGGAAAGAAAGGGAGAGTGATCATCAAGACCCAGAGCTCCAAGTCCCTCAGCCTCAAGGTCACTCTTCCCCAATGTGCACCTGGCATCCCTCCTGCCCCCTCTGAGGACAGCAATTCCTTGGCTTAGCCCAGAAGTGGGGACCCCTCTCTTCTTGCCCTCATCCTTTCCCTGGCAGAGATCACAGCCCATCTGCCCATGGCCTCAGGAGCCACCAGGGCCTCCCAGGTCAATGTCCTCCCTTGACATCTCCCGGCTGCCCTGTCCCTGGTCCCAGCTTCTGCTCCTGCATGTCTACCCCACTCTCCCCAGGATCCCTAGGCCTGGGGACTCGGCCACAACTAGGACACCCGTACACTCTTGGGCTCTTTCCTCCTCAGGCTTAGCCACTGTCCCTCAGGCTTCTCAGCCTGATGGTGCTCATAGGGCCCATGGTACAGAGCACGTAGCTCTGCTCCTGTAAGAGCCACTGCTGCCCCACCCCGATCCCCAACCAGCCGCCCCCCTTCTGTCTCCCTGCCATCTGTCCCTTTCATCCTCCCTGGCATGTCAAATGCCTGCCATGGCACCGCCTGTTACCTAGCCCAGCTACAGATAACAGCCTTGCAATCTACCCTGGAGTCCCCTGCCCCTACCAGGTAAACAGCCTCTACTCAGCCCTGCCACTTCCCTGCTCAGAAGCCACATGTGAATCTCAACATGCAAGCCCCGGGCTCCAGCCAGACCAGGTGTCCTCTGTCCCTCTCATCCCTGCCTCCGTAGCCGTCCCTTGCCATCCCCACCTGCCCTCACATCCTTGCCTTCCTGTGTGTCTGGCGGCAGGCTCCCCTGAGCTGAGGCCAGGGAGTGCAGTTTGGCTTCCAAGGGAAGGCAGAGATCCCCCAGGACAGGTGCCCTCACCTGCCACATAGCCAGTCCTGGCTCTCACCTTATCCACCTCCACATGTTGCTCCAGGCAGGCTGGGACCAAGCAGTGTCGCCTGTGTCCAGGGGGTCCCACGGCCTCAGGTGAGGTGCATTGTTCTAGCCTGCAGGACAGATGGGGAGCCTAGTGGGGGCCCTGGAAAGTCCCTGAGCTAACAGGGCAGTGGCTCCTCCCATCCTGGGGTGTGGCCAAGGAAAAGAGGCTGGCCCACTAGTCCCCAAGCTCCTCTAGAGCCTCTCCCTGTCACAAGCTGGGTCACATCCTCATCTCACAACCCCTCCCGCTCCCACATGGCCAAAGCCTGCCCCCAGTCTCCCCTGGCCATCTTCTTGCTCACCGGTGGACCAGCTCTGATGCCAGGAGGCCCTCGGGGCTGCTCTCCGAGTCATCTGTAGTCTGCATGCCTGCGCCCACCCCCTGCTTCTCTGCCCTGCAGTGGGAAGGGCCAGCCTGTTTTGAAGGCTCCTTTCCTGCACAGGTCCAGGCCAGCAGCCTCCATGACAGCCAGAAGGGGTCAGAGATGCTCATTCTCCAGCCCAGCCCAGACCTTCTGAATCTGACCTGGGGTCGGGGGCAGGCTGGATGAAGGGGAGGTGTGAAGACCCCCGAGAGCCCCAAGGGCGAGGCTCACTCACCCCACAGGCAGCGCGATGTACTTGTGGGGAATGAGGCCCCGTGCGCCCTCGTGCTCTCCCCACCACCAGTCGCTCGACGCCCTCTCATGCAGCTGCAGCATGTCCCCACGCCGGAAGCTCAGCTCCTGGGCCGTGCGGCCCGTGTAGGCAAAGCAGGCCACAGCCTCCACAACCCCCTCCAGGTCTGGTGGGGAGAGGAGGTCCAAGCTGTGGGGGGGGGTGGACACCAGAGCACCGACAGGATGGGGTTCTTTGCCCATTGCCCTCACCATCCTCCTGGGTCAGTGTCCCAGCTTCCAGCTCTGGCTCATTGTCTGCCCCCAGGCTCTCCAGCTGGGCATCCCTGAGGATCAGGGTAGAGCGAGGTGGATGAGGGGGGCTCTTCTCCAATGGACCCCCCCAGTCCCCTCGGCAGCACCAAGGGAGTACCCCAGGCAGCAGGTGGAAGGTGGTGCCATGCACTTCTCGTAGATGGGTCCAGGCAGCTCAGTTAGGGGTGGGAAGACCCGATCGGGCTGCATTATGAGCGTCTGCACCAGCTGGTTCACCCGGCCCTGCAGTGTCACCGGGTCCTGTCCAGCGGGCACGGGCAGCAGTGTGGGCCCAAAGCACACAGCCAGGTTGTAGGGGTCCATCATGTTCTCATCGCTGTACTGGGCCAGGCTGGGGGGATACTCACGTCACAAGCAGAGAGTACACGCCCCAAGTCCCCTCGGCCCCTCGCCCCCGGCCCCCACCCCAGTGCTAGCCCTGAAGCACTCACTGGTTGAGGAAGGTGAACAGGTAGCGCAGAACTACCAGGACTGGTGCCGGCAGCCGCCACAGCAGGCGGCTCACATGCTCCACCCGCGCTGCTGTGGCCTCCAGCTCTGTGGCCAAGGCCACCCGGGGAGAGAGCCGTGTGAGTGGGGCCGCCCTAGCAAGTGCCCTCCCCACACCGGCCTCAGGCCCTGGCCTTACCCGAAGAAGCCAGCAACTCGCTGAACAGGTCTGGGGGGAAGAGTGGGGGCTCCAGGCTCCGGAAGTAGAGCTTTAGCACCCCGGCCACCAAGTCCAGGTCGTGGGCACTGCAGCCTTCCACCAGCGGGTCCTCCCCTGCAGATGGGTGAGTGATGCGGTAGGGGGAGGAAGCTGGTGTTGTCTGCCCAAGCCCCCAGCCCTGCCCCCGCCGCCAGTCCCCACCTCTCTCGAAGGCATCACGGATCTCTGAGACCCGGAGCTGGGGCCCCGACACCCGGAAGATGCCTTCATGCTGCAGACCTGTAGGAGAACAAGGAGCTGGTGGGCACTGAGCATCTTCCCCAGCCCTGCCGGGATGGCTTCCCAGGCCAGGTGCCGGGAACTGAGTGCTGGGTGCCAAGATCCTGGGAGGGGCTGGGTCCTGCTCACCATTGAGGTTAATGAAGCGAATGCAGCTCTCCACCACCAGGGGCACAGACTGGCCTGAGCTCTAGGGACAGAAGGTGTTTACTTCACCATGGACACAGCATGTCCTGTGTTATCCTTTTGAGACAAGGTTCTCACTCTGTCACCCAGGCTGTAGTGCAGTGGCACGATCTCGGCTCACTGCAGTCTCGACTTCCTGGGCTCAAGTGATACTCTGGCCTCAATCTCCCAAAGCACCAGGATTACAGGCGTCCCCCTCGCGCCACGCTGCTTTTCTTTTCTCTCAAGAACACATCATTGTTGTTGGCACAGAGGCCTAGCACGCCGTTTCTTACATTCACTCCTAGATGTCTGATATTTTTTATGAGGTTTTAAGCACTGACTTACATTTTATTTGCAAATCGCTGCTGTAATATAAAAATGCAGTTCAATTCTGTACACTGAGCTTGAATCAAGTAACATTTTGAAACTCAAGCTAGGGGTGGTGGCTCACACCTGTAATCCCAGCACTTTGTGAGGCTGAGGTGGGCAGATCACCTGAGGTTGGGAGTTCCAGACCAGCCTGACCAAAATGGCGAAACCTCGTCTCTACTGAAAATATAAAAATTCGCCAGGTGCTGCACACCTGCAGTCCCAGCTCCTTGGAAGGCTGACGCAGGAGAATCACTTGAACCTGGGAGGCAAACATTGTAGTGAGCCAAGATCGAATCACTGCAATGCAGCCTGGGCGACAGCACAAGAACCCCTCTCTAAAAAAAACAGGTGTTCATTTAAAGATCTACACACATAATCATATCACTGAAATGATGGTATCAGTTCTGATCTTTCTGTTATTCTCCATGCCTGGCCTCCTCTGATCCTTCCTTCCTTCCTCCCTCCATCCTGCCTCCTTCTTGTTTTTTTTGAGACTCAGTTTTACTCTGTAGCCCAGGCTAGAGTACAGTGTCGCTATTTTGGTTCACCGCAGCCTCCGCCTCCTGGGTTCAAGGGATTTTCCTGCCTCAGCCTCCTGAGTAGCTGGGATTACAGGTGTGTGCCACCGCACCCAGCTCAATTTTTTTTTTTTTTTTTTTTTTTGTATTTGTAGTAGAGACAGTTTCACTATGTTGCCCAGGCTGGTCTCAAACACTTGGGCTGAAGTGATCTGAGATTACAGGTGTGAGCCACTGTGCTCGGCCCTCTCCGATGCTTTCTCTTAACAGTATTCGTTTTCTGATCTTTCTTGCTTCCCCTCATTTCACTGTCGAGGCCCCCCAGTACCATGCTGGCCAGAAGTTGCAGGGGAAAAGCTTTCAATATCTTGCCCCTAAAAATGCTGCTGCCCCAAGTTTTCTGTACATTCCCATTACTAGTTAAGTATGCTCCCTTTGATCAGCGAAGGCCACGGGGAGCCCAACAGAGGCCTGGAAGAGACCCATCCAGGAAGGCGGAGTTGGTGATTGAGACCCTGGGATCAGGTGTGGGGCAGAGCAAGTACCTGGATAAACTTCTCCATGTCTCCCCCAAAGAGTCTCTGGTTATACTGGGAGCTGGGGCGGGGGTGGCGGCTCTTCTGGAATTTTCTCTGGGTGTACTGGGTCCTGTGGTGAATGGGAGCTGGCTCTGAGGGGGCTGAGTGTGGAGAATGGGATGCCCCACCCCCCACCCAGCCAAGCAGGCCTCTAACCCTCTGAAGTGATTCCACAATCCAGTGGGAAGACCAGGAAATTGAGGCCCAGAGGACTGGGCAGCTGAGTTGGGCCCCAGGGAGAGAAGAGATGGGGGACCGTCACAGGGACTCAGCTCCTTAGAACATGCCAGGCCCTCATGAAGGACTCACCATGACATTTCCCGCTCCTCCTTGTCACCTGTGGGGTGGGAGAACACTGGTCTGCCTCTCAGGCCAGGGGTCTTCAATGCATTCCAGAGAAAAAGGCATGCAGAAGGGCCAGGGATAGGCAGGCAGGGAGAACCTTGGGCCAGATAGGGTCCTGGGCAGGGGAGAGGCAGGGAAGGGGGCAGCGCTGGGCCCACCTCGCTGAAGGGCCTCCTGCAGCTTCTCGAGCTTGGCCCGCAGCTTGGCAAGGATGCTCCGTCCACTCAGATACTCCTGGAGCTTCTGTGCAGCCCCAAGAAGAGCGCAAAGTTTAGTTCTGGCTTGAGCCCCTCCCTCTGCCCCAGCCACGCCCCCGTGGGTCCTACCCACCAGCCCAGCCAACCCCACCGAGATGTAGAAGGTCTCAGTTTCCTGCTGCTGGCCACGCCTCCGGCCTGCCTGCCGGCTGCCTGGGTCTGAACTGGTGGACTTGAGGGACTCGGTGGAAGGGTTGGTCTGGAAGGAGTCGAGCACATCCCCGTCGTCCAAGGCCACCACCTCTAGCAGGGCCTGCAGCGTGGCCTTCAGCGTCTTGTTCACCTGCGCAGGAGATCGCACAAGCTTGTTAAGAGGTTAGGGACAAGGAGGAAGACAGGAAGTCCAAGTCTCAGAAGGAAGGGGCCAAAGGGAGGGGGCAGGCAGGGTGGCCACTTCCAACAGCAGGCTGTACAGGCTCCAGGTCCCCATCTCCCCCCAAGCCCAGGGAGGTTGCCCAGACCTCCTCTGTCTCGATGGTCTGTTGGTCCAAGCGGCTCTGGATGTTCTGGGCTCTGGGCAGAATCTCATCCCGAAGCTCCATTTCAACACGGAGCTCAGCTACCTGCAGAGGGCAGCGGCCAGGGGGCTGAGGGCTAGGCTTGGGCAGCAGGTGCCAAGATCCCCAGAGCATGAGGGATGCAAGCACCCTTTTGTGGCCTGGTGGCCGGGCACAGGACCACCAGCCCAGACACTCAGCTGAAGAATGGCAGAAGCGAACACTTGCGTCCAAACCAAGACTTGTACACAGAGTTTCATGGCGCCACCACTCATCCAAGTCCAAAGGCAGGCGCAGCTGAGCGTACACAGTCTATCCAGAGAACCAAAGAGGATTTGGTCACAAGAAGGAATGAATCCACTCATGTAAAGTGTCCAGCCGGGCAAATTTAGAGACAGGAAGCAGAGGAGTGGGTGCCAGGGGCTGGAGAGGGGAGCGGGAAGTAGTGGCTAATGGGTACAAGTCTCCTTTAGGGGGTCACGAAAATGCTCTGAATTAGATGGTGATGGCTGCACAACTCTGAACATACTAAAAACCACTGAATTGTACTCTTTATTTGGCCAGTACGGTGGCTCACGCCTGTAATCCCAGCACTTAGGGAGGCCGAGGCAGGCAGATCATGAGGTCAGCAGATCGAGACCATCCTGGCCAACAGGGAGGCTGAGGCAGGGGAATTGCTTGAACCCAGGAGGCAGAGGTTGCAGTGAGCCGAGATCATGCCACTACACTCCAGCCTAGGTGACTCTGTCTCAAAAACACAAATAAATAAAACAGAATGGCTGGGCGTGGTGGCTCACACTTGTAGTCCCAGCAGTGAGCGAGACTCCTTCTCAAATAAATAAATAAATAAACTCTATTTAAAACAGAATGGAGGCCAGACGTGGTGGCTCATGCCTGTATTCCCAGCACTTTAGGAGGCTGAGGCAGGCAGACAACCTGAGGTCAGGAGTTTGAGACCAACCTGGCTAACATGGAGAAACCCTGTCTCTACTAAAAATATAAAATTAGTCGGGCCTGGTGGCACATGCCTGTAACCCCAGCTGCTCGGGAGGCTGAGGCAGGAGAATTGCTTGAACCCAAGAGGCAGAGGTTGTGGTGAGCCGAGATGGCGCCACTGCACTGCAGCCCAGGCAACAAGAGCGAAAGTCCATCTCAATCAATCAGAATGGGAAGGAAGACTGGGGTCCAAGGCAAAGCAGGGACAGAAAAACTGCTCACTCTAACTGGACAGACACAAATTTCCCTGTGGCAAGACAAGAGCAGCTTGCCTCATGGGCAGAGTGGGGGCCAACACTTCAGGAAGGAAAGAATTACTCTTTTAAGCATGCAAACATCCAGAAAGCTGCCATTACAGTTAAAACTGAGACTGAGGACTCATCTGCAGCTAAACACTTGCCCTGTCATACAGGACTGCACGAAGGCACAAGTCACAGAGAAGAAAGAAAGGCCATTCTGAGGCGGGCTCCCACACAGCTGACCCTCCAGGACATGGGACTCAGTGAAAGGAGCCAGTCACAGAGAGGCCGGCACTATAGGATTCCACTCCTTCGAGGGGCTTCACAGGAGAGCCGTGAACTCCTGGGGGATGGGCAGTAGAAGGGCGGGGGCCCGGGGCTGAGGGGTGGGGAGTCTGGCTGAAAGGGGCCAGAGCTTCAGTTGGGGACGATGAACAGGTTCTGTGGCTGAATGGCGGAGATGGCTGCACGGCACAGGAGTGTGCTCATGCCCGGGACGCACACTTACACATGGTGAGCGTGGTGTGTTTTACGAGATGTGTATTTTGCCACACATTTTTTTAAAAGTCCACCTAGAGTGGGCACTGTGGCTCACACCTGCAATCCCAGCACTTTGGGAGGCTGAGGCGGGTGGCTCGCTTGAGCCCAGGAGTTCGAGACCAGCCTTGGCAATATGGTAAAACCCCTTCTTTGCTGTCTGGAAAGGATATAGCAGAGATTTTGGAGTCAGGGACACTGGTCCCAGCTGAAAAAGATGATTACAGCAGCACCGCCACCGGGAGCTGGCCTGGTCCTATCAGCCTGGCCTCAGTGCTGTCCTGCTGAACACAAGAAATGTCCGAGAGCATCAACATCAGGCAAGGCCAGTGTGTGACCATTATGGGCGAAGACAGAAACAAGACCCCAGCGATCATGTCTGAGTGAGGCCTCCATCACTGTCTCCTAGATATGATTAATCAAGACATCCAGTCGTAGGCTGGGCGCGGTGGCTCACGCCTATAATCCCAGCACTTTGGGAGGCCGAGGCGGGTGGATCACAAGGTCAAGAGATCGAGACCATCCTGGTCAACAAGGTGAAATCCCGTCTCTACTAAAAATACAAAAAAAAATTAGCTGGGCATGGTGGCGCGTGCCTGTAATCCCAGCTACTCGGGAGGCTGAGGCAGGAGAATTGCTTGAACCCAGAAGGCGGAGGTTGCGGTGAGCCAAGATGGTGCCATTGCACTCCAGCCTGGGTAACAAGAGCGAAACTCCATCTCAAAAAAAAAAAAAAAAAAGACATCCAGTTGTACAGTTACCCCTGCTTCCAGATGGCATCCAGTCCAAGGCCCAGCCCCACTTCCCTGGGCCCTCCCCCAGATCCCCTAAGGCAAGCCTGAGTCCTCTAAGGCCCTTCCACCACACTGCAGAGTGAGCTCCCAGCTCTCTTCCCCCCTGGACAGGGTCAGAAGAGTTCCTACTGCAGAAACTGGCCAGGCCAGGAGGAAAGACCAAAGACCTCCACATTTGTGGGGGTATATGTTCAGACCTCCTCTTAAATATGAACTGATGACCAAGAATCACCAAACAGAGACCGAAGCAAGAAAACAGAGCAAATGCAGGAAGAGGAGAAAACAAAATAGGACGTTTCAGGCCGGGCAGTGGCTCATGCCTGTAACCCCAGCAATTTGGGAGGCTGAGGTGGGCAGATTACCTGAGGTCAGGAGATGGAGACCAGCCTGGCTAACATGGTGAAACTCTGTCTGTCTCTACTAAGAACACAAAAATCAGCCGGGTGTGGTGGTACGTGCCTATAGTCCCAGCTACTCAAGGGGCTGAGGCAGGAGAATCACTTGAACCTGGGAGGTGGAGGTTGCAGTGAGCCAAGATCATGCCACTGCACTCCAGCCTGGGCAACAGAGTGACATTCCATCCCAAACAAAAATAAATAAATAAATAAGCAAGCCGGGTGTGGTGGCGCACCTGTAGTCCCAGCCGCTCAGGAGGCTGAGGCAGGAGAATCGCTTGAACCCAGGTGAAGGTTGCAGTGGGCCAAAATTGTGCCACTGCACTCCAGCCTGGGCGACAAGAATGAAACTTCATCTCAAAAAAAAATCATAAAGTACTGTATTCATGAAATAACAATAAAGGGTTGGCCAGGCACAGTGGCACGCCTGTAATCTCAGCACTTTGGGAGGCTGAAGCAGACCAACTGCTTGAGCCCAGGAGTTTGAGACCAGACTGGGCAACGTGTTGAAACCCTATCTTTACAAACTATAGAAAAATGAGCCTGGCGTGGTAGTGCAGGCCTGTGGTCCCAGCTACTCAGGAAGCTGAGGTGGGAGGACCAGAATGTCGTGTCTGCAGTGAGCTGAGATCAGATCACATCACCGCACTCCAGCCAGAGTGACAAAGTGAGACCCCATTTCAAAAAAAAAAAAAAAAAAAAGAGGCAGGGTGTGGTGGCTCATGCCTGTAATCCCAGCACTTGAGAGGCTGAGGCAGGTGGATCACGAGGTCAGGAGTTCAAGACCAGCCTGGCCAAGATGGTGAAACCCCGTTTGCACTAAAAATACAAATACTACCCAGGTACAGTGGCAGATGCCTGTAATCCCAGCTACTTGAGAGGCTGAGGCAGGAAAATTGCTTGAACCCAGGGGACAGGGACAGAGGTTACACTGAGCCGAGATTGTGCAACTGCACTCCAGCCTGAGTGACAAAGTGAGACTCTGTCTCAAAAAAAAAAAAAAAAAAAAGAATACAAACATTTTCAGATGTGCAAAGTCAGGAAACCCTTGGTGAAGGCTTTCACCAAAATGAGGGTATCAAACCAAGAAATGCTGCAGTGGTATCCAGAAACAGAGCACTGGGCAGGGCAGTTCCCGGCCAGCAGCTTCCGAGAAGGCCTGGAAGTGAAGCCGTCCAGACTGGAGGGTTCTGGGTGCACCACAGGTGCCTGGTGTGGAGGACAGTGCTGGGATCAGGCAGCGATCAACTCCTAGCAATGGGCGCGTTCTATCAAGCAGCATTCCTGAGGGGAGGCTATTATTAATTCCGGAAGAAAAAGATCCTAATAGTACCTGCTGTCCCGGTGATTTAAACACTGAATGTTCATTGAGCCAAAAATTCTGGGATAAACTCGCTGGGAGAACAAGATGCAGGAAAGCATGCGGTGGCTGTGGGAGATGCTGGTGGTGCTTGGTTGTCACTGGCCAATGGAAAATGGCTGCCTGACGCTTGGAGGAGGCGCCAGAGGCATCCATAGGAAGACTGGGGGTGGGTTTGGGAGCTGCTGTGCCAGCCCTGGTGAGGCTGGACTCTCTGAAAAGGGGCCCAATGGAATCCCAGGTCATCACCAACACCCATCAGGATAAACTGCTAAAAGAAAAACCAGCTGGAGGGAGAGGTCTAAAGAAGCCAGATTCCGAGGCTGCAGTGAGCCGAGATCACACTGCACTCCAGCCTGGGCGACAGAGTGAGACTCCGTCTCAAAGAAAAACCAAAAGAAAACCAATGCCATCTTACTGCGTGTATGGTTCATTTCCTCCCAAGTTTGTGTCACAAAATTTAAAAACACAATGAAACCAGTCTAGAACAATGCAGCCACATGGCCACCTGCTGCAAGGGGTGAACAGTTAGTGTCTTGCCCTCCTTGGACACTTCTGTAGCAGCTGCACTGCCTGGGACCACGGAGAGCTTGGATTCCTGAGCAAATTGTGTCACGCCATTAGTGAAGGCCAAAGAATGCTGAGCCCAGCAGGGGGTGACCCTCACCTCATCCCCGTCGTGGGGCTGGTAATCAAAGCGCAGTGGGGGACAGAAGGCGATAGCGTGCACCTCGAGCACCTTGGCCTTGTCTCCTGGAGGATCCAGGGACTCCACGGCTTCTTCCAGGCTGCCCAGGCCCTGCACTTGAGAGGCCTGGGCGCGGCTCTCAGCAGCCGTGTAGCTCCGGAGCACCTGCCCTAGGGCCAAGTGGAACCCTGTGTCGCAGCACTGAGGGGAAACAAGGACATGCTTGGGTGGGCCCTGGAGCCTTGGCCTCCTAGCCCCGGGGCACTGGGCACCTTTTCCCACCCATCCACCAAGGACTCACGTCCATGAGGTCCAAGACGTCACACAAGTAGTAGTTCCTGACAGCAGCATTGGCGCTGGCCAGGCTCAGCAGGTACTCGTTGCGTGCCTTTGTGCACTTGAGTTTGTGCTCCATGAACTTGGCCTGCCGCTACTCAAGACAATGCAAGCCCAGCGGGGTCACGAATGCAGCCTTTTATCACATCCCCTCCCGCTGTGGACAACTACACCCAAGGTCCCGAGAATCCCCCAGGTCCCGAGAATTCAGCACAGCCCAGAAGTCCCGCTGCCTTCCCCACACCACAGTCCACAGAATGCCCAGTCCAGTGCCAGGAGTGACCTGACTCCCCGGTTGTTCACCCAGCAGCGCTCTGCCATACTCCCCACTGCCACTCCTCACAGAACTATTCACAGATACCTGATGAGTGGAAGGTGTGCACAGCACCTCACCATGGAGGGTGCGTCAGAAACCCAGCTTGGAGCCAGCACACAGGTGCGCAGCTAGAAGCAGTCATTGGCTTCTAGGGAGGCTGGGGCTGAGGGGGAACGAACACCCCAAACGGTGGGGATAGATCATCAAGGACCATGAGACAGAACCTGCTGGCACCTGGGCTCTAAAGCTGGCATTCTATTTTTTTTTTTTTTTTTTGAGACAGAGTCTTGCTCTGTCACCCAGGCTGGAATATAGTGGCGCAATCTCGGCTCACTGCAACCTCCGCCTTCCAGGTTCAAGCAATTATCCCACCTCAGCCTCCCAAGCAGCTGGGATTACAAGCACCTGCCATCATGCCTGGCTAATTTTTGTATTTTTAATAGAGACAGGGTTTCACCATGTTGGCCAAGTTGGTCTCGAACTCCTGACCTCAGGTGATTCACCTGCCTCAGCCTCCCAAAGTGCTGAAACTACAGGCGTGAGCCACCGTGCCTGGCTAAAGTTGGCACTCTAACCACAGCAGCCAGGGAGACCTTCCCCCGACACAGCCAAACTCTGCCATTTCCTCTAAGAACACTTGAGATGTCCGACTCCCTCCTCTGCTCCCAGAGTCCCAGACCATCACCCCCAGCCCCACACAGCGTGACCACTCCATCCACACATTTCCCAACCTCCCCACTCTCTCTACAGGGCCCATCTCGAAGGCCCTTTTTCCGTGCATGTTACCCTAAGTGTCTTCTCACCCCTCTGAAACCTCACAGGATGGCTGGTGGAACAGCAGAGCTGCAGAGGCCCTGCCTAAAGTGTGCAAAGGCCACATGAGGCTGTCCAGGGCCAGACACCTGCTCTCCCGGCTCTCTCACGCCTCGAGAGCCTTCTGTATGGAATCCCTGCAACCTGATGGCACCGTCCTGCCATTCCTGCCCCCAGCTTGGGGAAGTCACCAGAGCCAGCAGGGTGAGTGCGTGCGGGCCCTCCACTCCCAGGTGGGAAGGGTCTTGCTGAAGGGGTGCAGCCCTCCCCTGCACCCAGCCCTGCCTCCCCCTCAACACAGCAGGTCCTAGTCAGGGCCCATAGCCCACAGGCTTGCTTCTGAGGTGCCCTCCAGGCCCACCTTCTCCACCAGCCGCCCACCCTTCTTCAGGGAGGTCCTGCGGAGGGGCCCTGCCTCAGTGGCAGCAGCGGTGGCAGTGGGTGCACTCCGGCCTGCCCGCTTCTCCTCCTGCCGCTCGGCCTCCCGGAGCTTGACCTCAGCATTCACACTCTCTGTGTGATACGCCTGGTATGTCTTCTTGGCCTGCAGGGACAACCCAAAGCAAGGCAGCGCTGCTGAAGGTCACAGCCAGGCCAGTCCCACACCCTCTACCTCCGTCCCTCTTGAACCTGAACCTCAGAGCTGGGCAATCCCATGTGAGCACCTGGCCTAACGCCCTGTGCCTAGGGAGAGGGGGCCTTTGCCCGAGCCCCCAAACCCAGGACTCCCCTAGGTGTACGCTTCTCCCTGAGCCTGGCTTGGGGCAATGTGATGGTCTGGGGGTTTTCCTCCCTAATGAGTATCATTTCTCCCTGAACTGTTGGGACGGGCCCCTCCCCAGCCCTGTCCTCACCGTCTGTAGCTCTGAGACCACCTCCAGGAGCTCGTCCTGCAGCTGCTGCTCCAGATCCCTGCTCTAGAGGTGAAGGCAAGGGTGAGCATGCCACAGCTCAGAGCAGCACCCACCGGCACTCGAGGCTCTGCCCAGCTCAAGCCCCATCTGGGGGGCACACAGGTTCGCTCTGCCTGGTCCCCACCTGGCTTCCAGTGCCCTCCCAGCCACAGCACCTCCCGATCCCAAAGCCTCGAACACCTCCCATAGCTCAGGGTGAGAGCCTCACCTTCTTGACCAGGCGCCCCACGTCCTCAGCAATGTGACTCAGGCGCTGGGCCAGGGGCCCAGCCAGCACCTCGCTCAGGGCCGCGCTCTCCCGGCTCTGTTGCCGTGTGTGCTGCAGCAGCACTGCCCAGCAGTGCAAGGGTGACAGGAGGCACGGCTCCTTCCTGGGGGTAGAGGGGCACTGAGATCCAGGAGTGGGAGCTTGGGCACTGCCATGGCCCCCCTGCCAGCACATCACCTACCTGAAGCTTTGGTGCTCCCGGCTGCTCCCCAGGCGGCCTCCGCGGCTGGAGAAACGCTCAGCCAGCTTTTCCAGGCCCCGAGAGTACTCCAGCTCCACCTCGGCGCGTCGCCGCATGAACTCTGCCAACTCCTGCAGCAGCTCCCGACGCAGCTCGCCCTGCAGCTCCAGGCAGCGTAGCTGTTCGCTCAGCTGCCAGCGCATCTCTGTTGGGAGACCATGGCTCAGGACTGGCCAGGACGCCCTGCCTGGGTCAGCCAGGCCAGCATGGGGTGGGAAAGGCAGAGACACACAGAGCCTGGTCCCATCTGCTCTGACGGCTTCTTTGGACTTAGCGTAGGCTGGAGGCAGGAGCTAAGAGGGGAGGAAAGGGGCTAGGCCCCTGCAGGCAGATCTAGCTTCAGCTGTCCAGCTGACCTCTGCTAAGGCTAACAGGAGATGGCCAGACCCACCCGGTTGAGGCGGAAGGGGAAGGGTGTCCCACCAAGAGGGGAGAGCCGTGCAAAGGCCTGGAGTGAGAGGGTGAAGCCCACCATGGTGGGTGAAACACAGATCCAGCCCCGTCTCAACCCATCACCAGCCAGGCAACTTTCGTTTTGACTTCCTGTCTCTCCCTCGTTCCTGGAAAGCCCCTGAATGGCTTCCCCTGCCACTTCCTTTCCCACTGGTACCCAGGCCCTGGGAGGTGGCAGCCTCCTTTGCAAACACACAGATACACAGCGCACAGATCACAGCACTGCTCAGGGCAAGCCTGCAGCGAACTCGCAGTCTCAGTGACTGGGGAACCTTGCCCTCAGGCCCCAGGGGAAAGGGCAGTCCACAGTGAGGGCTGGGTGCCAGGGAGAGCTGATCCAGCCTGATAAGTGAAAGGATGGGGGAGGGAGCTAGCCCCTATCTTCTGTCCCCACTTCCCACTCCCAATCACCCTGCCCCCACCCCGTGCAGACAGACAGCCACACCCAGGGCCCCGTACTGCCAGCCTTTTGCACCCTATCACTGGCTTGATTTGGCAATGCTGCTTCCCTGACACAGGCCTGAAGCAAAGAAGTACCCACCCGGCAAATTTAAGCAACCTGCAGAAGACGCTTTTGCCGCCTGCTGAGTGCCCAAGCAGGTCCCGAGTAAATAAGATGATACGTTGGCTTCTGGCCAGCAGGCTGCCCACCTACTCATCGCCATGCACATCCCAAGGGAGGGACATGAATTGATTTCTTCATTAAGCAGGATGTTGATTATGTACCCATTCTGTGACAATCACGTTCTTGATACAGAGGCAAAGAGGGCTGACCAAGTGCCTCCCCTCCTGGAGCTGGGATTGGAATGGGGGACAGACACATGTCCGTGGAGTGATGGGTGCTGAGAAAATGAACAAGCCGTGTCGTTGGAGCAAAAAGCTGGAGCTAGCTGTGAGGCGTGCTGGGGAGAATCCGAGAGGCTGGTAGGGACAGATGGCACAGAGCCCATGGTCTAGGGAGAATTCCCACCTGGACTCCGAGTGAGAGAGGAGCCACAGTGGCTGGAGCATGCGGTCCAGCTTCCTTTACAGGCCCAGGTGGCAGCCACTGCACTAGTCCAGGCAAAAGACTGCGGAGTTTCAGACCGGGACCAATGAGGGAGGACTCCGCTGGGAACAGCTCAATCTCAGATTTCTGTCCCACCAGTGACTTCCCAGGGGCTGCTGCATGGGGACACTGTAGGTGTGGCCTGCCCAACATCCGTACCTCCTCTCCAATCTCCTCTTGGAGAATGTCTCCTCCCTAGTCTCAGCCCCCTTAACTCCAGGTGTCCCAGACCTGGCTGCATGCATCACACACCCCTCCGCCCCTCCACTCCCTGCCCCCACCAGACTAGCCAGGTGAGGGACCCAGGAGCCTGGCCCTTCCAATGGAATCACCGAACAGGAGAGCTCTCCCCACCAGGGGATCAAGCTGTGTAAGTGGAAGCCTGGGGCGGGGCACCTCCCGACAAAGCAGAGCAGAGCGCACGGTGCCAAGGGAGACAGATGGAGAGTGTTGTCATCCTATTAGAGGCTGGCCTCCTGTGGTTGCTGGTCAGCTACAAGGGCCAGGTGGGGTAGGCGCTAATGCCATTTGAAATCAGGAGACTCCTTACTGAATCAGTTTAATGTTTTGTTTTGTTTTGAGATGGAGTCTTGCTCTGTCGCCCAGGATGGAGTGCAGTGGCGCCATCTCAGCTCACTGCAACCTCCACCTCCCGGGTTCAAGCAATTCTTTTGCTTCAGCCTCCCGAGTAGCTGGGACTACAGACACCCGCCACCACACCCGGCTAATTTTCGTATTTGTACTTTTAGTAGAGACAGAGTTTCACCATGTTGGCCAGACTGGGTCTCAAACTCTTGACCTCAGGCGATCCGCCCGCCTTAGCCTCCCAAAGTTCTGGGATTATAGGCGTGAGCCACCTCGCCCATCCCAGTTTAACATTTTTTTTTGATAAAAGTTAATTTCATTTCATTCTAAGAAAGGTCTTAGGTGACTGCTTGCCTCACTGTCCCTCTGGAGCCTGCCCTGCCCTTCTTCCCCCAGAGGAATACAGTGCAGAAAGAACCAGCAGAGAGAACCGCTGCCTTTCCTCATCACTGCCGGCAGCAAACACTGACTGGAAGTCATGTCCTGGTCCAGATCCGGGCATGCACACTGGCTGGTGTTGAGCCGGAAACGTGAATTGCAAGTCGATTGCATTGGTGGCTTTCCCGGCAGAGCTTTCAGATCTCAGTTCAGACAAACTCGTCAGCACACCCTGTCCTGATGTCCCCCTAAACTAGAGCTGGCCCTCTTCCGACCCCTTCTTGGCACCCTGCACTTTCCTTTTGCAGTGCTTATTATCATAATGGAAACTCTATGTCTCCCCCACTAGACCTGTGAGCCACTGTGAGGGTGGGGCACTGACGCCATCTGAAATCAGGAGAGTCCTCACTCAATCACTGTTTTTACTCCGGGTAAAAAGCCAGGGCTAGAGGGGCTGGAGGGACTGGAGGGGCTGGAATCAGGAAACATCTGGCCAAAGGCAAGCTGGAATCCATGTCTGCCTGAATTACAGAGCAGGGCCCCAGGCTCCACCAGCACTTCCTGTGAGCAAGACATTTGGTCTCATTTCTGCTGACAAGCAAAACAGAAGAGAAGATGGTCTCCAAAACCATGGCTATGCTAACCTTTGAGAATTTAGGGTGTCAAGACAGTGACCCCCGTTCTGTAGAACGGTAGGATGTTTTTCCAGGGACTGGGATGCAGACCCAGAGCAAGTGAGGAACCCTTAGACAGTCCTGCTCGAAACCCCAACTTTTCAGTGGGAAACCACTGACCCATATTTGCTGACTGAAGTTTTCCAAGTCTTTCAGCTTCATGGCATTTTGGGGAAGCAGGATGGAGATCATTACCTCCATCTGAGCAAGATGATGGTGAGGCTTGGAAAGCTGGCTCACCCTGTGTAGTCACCTCAAGCTGGCTCTGGACACAGGCTGCCTCTTCCAAAGGAGGACGACTGGGGCATATTTTGGTATAAATTGCTTGCACTGAATAATGAGGTTGGAACCTACATCTGTAGGTTGAAAGGCACTTCAAGGGTCATTGCATTCTATGTTCTAGAAGTTGTCGTGCTGTGTGACCATGGGCGAGTCACTGCACCTCTCTGAGTTTGTTTCCGTAATTGGCAAAATGGAGTGATTGAGAGTGATATGGAGGAGCTGCTGGCACTGAGCTGCTGCCCTTTTCCTTTGCAGGAGTTACCATGGCTAAGAATTTGCAAAGCTGACTTGCATGTGATTTGCACATGGGTGTTTATCAGAACCTGGAGAGGTTCAATTTCAGAAGGCTGAGAAGCCAGCCCTGCTGAATCTCTCAACCAAGACTCACTGCGCCAGCTTGACCCAAAGACAGTGGCCCTCACCTCTGATCCCCGTCAGTGCCAAAGGGAGGCAAAAGGTGCTGGGGCTCCAGGGACTGCAGCGGGGTTAGGGCCAGGTGATCTCCACCAATCCACTCACCTGGACTCCCTTACCCACTTCACTGTAGCTAACACACTGCCTCCTGGGGGCACGTTGGTGCATCCGGCTCCCCTTTACCAGCGGCCACCAGTGTCTCCACTGGGCCTTGGGTGAGGAACAGGGACCAAACGAAGGAAGAGAGGCAAGGAGAAAGGGAAGATGGCAGGCGGCTGAGGCCAAATGGGCGTGGGGAAGCAGGCAAGGGGCTCAGGCTCCCTCCTCCACCCCCCTCCAGAGGTCGCTGGGGAGAGCATCGGGCCCTGGGTCAGTGCGGGCACGCTTGGAGCGCCCTCACGACCTTGGGGTCTCCGCAGGATACGGGCCGGGAGCGCCCGGCGCCCTCTCACCTTTGACTTGCGTCTCATACTCAGCCTGTAGCCCCCGCTCCCGCCGCAGCTTCCCGTGAGCGGCCATGGCGGCCTGGCGGCCGCGCCGTCAAACCCCACTGCTCCCACGCGGTCGCGAGCAGAGCCGGCGCCGGGACTCGGGGGCGCTGCGGCCAGCACCCTGCGCGGGCTCCGCCCAGCCCCGCCCCCAGCGCCGCTCCAGGTGGGGCGGGGCGGCCCCGGCCCGGCACTGGCCGCGAGGGGCTCCCGGGGGCAGGACCCCCCCTTGCAGCCCCATTGTGCCCCGGCCTTGTCGTCCCCTCCCGCTGGGCCTGCACCTAGGCTGCCTTGTGCCGAAAGCCCCGCTGCCAAGCAGCCGGGGCGGGTGTGAGACCCCGAGGTAAGTGGGCATCCCTGGCTGCAATCCTGCCACCACCTCCAGAAGGCTGTCCGTGGTCACCACTGCCAGACTGCACCGTTCGCACCGGGGTCGCTGGCCCACAGTGCCCGTGGACATGAATAGCACTGCTGCCCCAGGTCCTGGACATCGGACGGGGTCGTCCCTTCCCAGGGAGCCTTGAGAGCTGGGGTGGGAAGTTTGGAGGGGAGGAGAAGGAAGGTCATCGCCAGAGAGCAGAACCTCAGCAGCTGTTGGCTGTTCCCTCCAGGCCCCCTTGGTGGGGGAGCAGGGTTTCCTCTGGTTCCCCTTCTGCTCAGCCCCACAATTTCCACATAGGCGGTTACCACTTCCTGCTGCCGGAAGAGGCTGCTCTGCCTCCCTTCCCCTGCAGCTGCACCTGCCCATCATAGGCCTGAGGGGGACAGCCCCCTCAGAGTAAGGTCTTAGCTACCCTGGGGGCAAGTCTGGGGCCTCCCTCATACAGAGGTGGTGGGGCCTTTCCTCCACCCACTACCGCAGGGCAGCAGCTTTTCTCGGGGAAATCGGGAAGGCAGGAGGCAGGAGGTTGTTGACATGCCAAGCAGACAACTGGCTTCAATTTGCTGGGAGGGAAATCCTTGGGATATAGACTTGGGGAGAGGGACAAAGCACTTGGGCACCAGGAGTGTGTCCCAAAAGCGGGCCTGTGGGCACCAGTGCAAGGGTCCTAAGCCTTTATGTGCACGGATGTCAGAGTCATAACCTTGACCTGCAGATCTGGGGAGGAGGGGAGGCTGTGCAGGTACTTCCTGCCTTTCAACTATGAGCAATTAATTCTCTTGCCCAGAAGGAAAATACACTCCCCTAGCTCCCCGCCCCCTTCTCCCAGGCCCTTCTCGAAGACGTTGTTGTGAGGGTCTGCAGGACCTGAGGCTTCGAGGCCTGGGAGCTAGCCAGACCCCGGTAGGCCCAGGACCTGGACTTCCAGCAGCTGGTCTCGGAAATGCTGAGGTTCGAGTCCTCCAGCCTGCGCCCCTTCCCACGGCGCGCACAGCCACAGCCACACCCCAACCTGCTCCTGCTAGGGAGACTCACACGTCCCGCCGCTGTCTCAGGCCAAGGGGAATCAGGGACCCCCTCCCCTCATTAGCTGACCCCAACACACCCTGCTCTTCCATCCAAGCCCCGACTGGTCCCCAAAGGTCCCTCCACACAGAGACAGGCACAGGGCTCAGGCAGGCAGAAAAGGGCTCAGCCCGTGCCTCAAACGCTCTCTTCACTCCTTTTCTCACTCCAGAGCTAGTCCTATGTTGCCCCATTCAGCCCGTGCTTTAGAACCTGAGTGTTGGGCCCTGGCTTTTAGGGCAGTTGTGTGGCATTTAAGGCCCTGAACTCAACTGTCACCTGCTGCTCGCTCTATTCTTAGCTCCACTGTTCCCCTTCAAGGCATCCTAAAGCCAGGCAGCCCGCAGAAAGCGCGGACCTGCCCGCGTGGCGACAGACGGAGCGGCGGACAGGAGGGCGGAGGGCGGGCCGAGCAGGGGAGGAAGAAGGGCGCCGTGTGAGCCCGGCCCAGCTTCTTTCCACCGGTGCCGGTGCGGGGCCGACGCAGTGCGCATGCCCTCCCTTCCCCCACGCCCTGCGCGCAGAGCTCGGCGCCGCCGAACCAATCAGAGCCTGGGAACGAAGCTTGCCGCCGGCTTGCGAACCGGAAGATACTGACGCCAGGCACGGGGCGGGACAGGGCGCCGCCTCTGGCCCATACAAAGGGAAGCCCACGTCTTGAGCCAATCAGAACACAGCCTCGCCCGAGCCGGGAACTGTAGAGCGGTGGGCGTGCGCAGGCGCGACTTTCCGGTCCCGGCCCCGCCCTGCCGAGCTCTGGGCTCGGCTTCCACCGCGGCAGGCTGCCTGCTGGTCACGTGCGACACACCAGCCAACGAGAACCGAGGTCCAGGCCTGTACGGCGAATTTTCAACCTGGCGGAGCAGCAGTGTGCCACCTGCAGTAGCAGAGATGTTGTGTATAGAGACGGCTCAGGAATACAGGGCCCGCTCAGAGACAAGTGATGGCTTTGCAGCCGGAGGGAATAGGAGGGAGCAAAGACACATGGAGTTTGGGTGACTCCATGAAAAACAGGATTTTGATATATATGTGTCCCTGGAGTGTGGTAGCATGATCTGGGATCACAGCAACCTCCACCTCCCAGGCTTAAGCGATCCTCCGGCCTCAGCGTCCCAAGTAGCCGGGATTACAGGTGTGCACCACGACGCCTCGCTGTTTTTGATTTTTAGTAGAGATGGGGTTTCATCATGCTGCCCAGGCTGGTCAACTCCTGAGTTCAACTGATCCGCCCACCTCGGCCTCCCAAAGTGCTGTGATTACAGGTGTGACCCACCATACCCAACAGCTGCCCAGTTTTGTATTCTGCATGAAACTGTAATGGGGGATACATAGCTTTATGCATTTGTGTAACCCCATAGAAACTGTACAACACAGACAAGGACCCTACTGTGAAACATGGGCTACACTTTACAATAACATATCAGTATTGGCTAATCAACAGAAACCAACACACCAACTAATACAAAATGTCAGTAGGAGAAACGGGGGGAACTGTACTAAAAATCAATTATTTTCAACTGCAAACTCAGGTTAGGGAGCAGACCCAAGAGGTATCATGGACTCACTGACCATTAGGGTAGCAGGGGAGGGAGGACTCAAGGACCACTGACAGGGCTTGAGCAACTGGGCATCTGGCTGGGTCATTACTCAGACAGGACAGCTGTAGACAGGCCCAATGAGCAGTTGGATGTCTACATCTGAAGCCCACGGGGTGTAGTGGAGCTGCTGTAGCCCAAAGCAAGTGTGATTAGGAGAGAAAAGGGCTGGAGGTGGGACACTCAAGAGCCAAGCAGAAGTACTGAAGAATGGGAGCCCGCTGTTGAGCTTTGAGCCTGAGCGGCCGAGGCTTGCACAAAACACATTCGGCGTGGCCGAGCAGGCCTCTGAGGCAGGGTCTCTCCCGGAAGTCTAGGGCCTCCTTCCCTGGGGCCACAGCTGCTGAAGGTTATGAGACTGGGGAGTCCCACCCCCAAGGCTCTCACAAAGCTCCTCCCTTCTACTCGGGCCTGGCAGGATGCCCTGGCTTAAAAGGCTGTGAGGTTCACATCCCCACCAGACAGAGGAGCTGGAGAAACACACCTTCTAAATGTGCAAGCGCACGTGCGCATACACACACACACACACACACACACACACACACACACACACAAAGTTCCCCAGTGCCATAGAGCGAATTTATTGTGAAAGCTCGTGGGGTGAGGAAGGGCCGGGGCAGGCTCTAGGAGGCCGAGTCGGAGGCCTCTGAGCTGTCTTTGACATCTGTGCTCTCTGTGGTCTCGCTGACCTCGCTGAGGTCCTTGCTGTCCCCTCCACTATCCTCAGCAGCCAGGCCCTTCTCCTCACGACAGGCCTCTCCTGAGTTCGGAGGTGAGCTGCCTTTGCTCTCCACCTTGTTCTCCATGGCGCCCAGCACCATGTGCCTGCCCTTCTCCTTCAGCTCCAGGTGCCGCCTCAGCTGCCGCCAGGAGCCCAGGGAGAAGCGGGAGCAAAGATACAGGGCCTAAGTTTCCAGACAAGGGGAGCCTGGACTTGTCGCTGGCTGAGGGGACGGGCATAATGAGAAGCAGCAGGGCTAGGAAAGACACACGGGACTGAGTGGGGACACCTGGCTGGAGCCTTGCCCACTGCTCCCTGGGTTCACTGACTACCATGGAGGCCCCCACGACCGAGTGCTGCCCCTTCAACAGCCCTGCCACCTTGGGCAGAACCCTGACTCAGAACTACCTCTGAGCAGGCAGGCCACCCACTGGTCCCAGGCTGTCCCACTTCCCTTCTAAAAGCCTCCTCCGTCTGCCTCTCCCACCACCCTCCAGGCTGCTGCTAGGCAGACAGCCTCCTCTAAAGCCCAGCCTAGGAAACTGAGGCCGTGAGTCCTGGCAATGTGGCCACAAGGGCTGGCGCCCAAAGTTGGTCTTGCTTCCAGCCACTGTCCCAGGGCTCTCAAGTGCCGCCACCTCCCCCCCGCCCACAGGGCCGACCCCACTGGCCTCGCTTGGCTAAACTGCAGCGCTCTCACCTCGTCCGCCATCTGGGTGAGATCCCGCTTCATGGCGTAGGCATCCTCCCCATCTGCATAGTATTTGGGCTCCACTTCACTGATCCTGGGGGCAGAGGGCAGAGAGCAAGGAGGAAGACCCATACCCAGGACACATCCTCCTCTGCTCCTGGCATCATGGCTACTGAAGCAAGGTGACATGTTTTCTCCCTGAAGGCTCCATCCTGAGACAGCAAGTCCAGCCTGAAAGAATCCTCCAGTGGCCCCACTTCCAGTAAAGGCTCCAGGTAACAGTGGCCCGCCCCACCCCTGTCCTGTTCCTGTTCTGTGTCCTTAGCCTGGCTACTAAGGATTCCCCTTCTGTGGTTTCTTGTGAGCTGAAGCCCTGAATTCAGCCTTCCCCTTCCCTTTCTGCCCTGCTTCCTATCCCTTACTGAGCTGCCTCACCACAGTGATGAAAATACAGGAACGTGGGTGAGCCCGTTTGAGGGCTGCATCCCTATGCAGCACAGCCCAGCCCGCACTGGGGAGGCACGCGTGCAGGCTCGGGTGGCCATGTCCTGGAAGGCTGGCCCTGTCAGACCTCAGACATGAGGACTGTTGACTTCACTATAAAGCAGTTTCCACCAGACATCCTCATCTGGGTCACAGATCCTTCCTGCCAGCACCCAGCCGAGGCCACCGCCCTTCCCAACAGTCAAACTGGTGCTGAGTGCAGTTAGCATCCCTCCACGGGCACACGGGTAGCCCACCCCAGCTTCACTTGCAAGCACTTTTTTCCACTGTCTACTGGGCACACTGACTGCCAGGTTCTCTCTCCTGGGCCAGGCAAACGGGGCCTCCGGGTCCTCGGCAGACCTGCCCCATCCACTAGGCTGCCTGGCCGCCGGCCCTTTCTTCCTGAACATGCATTCTCCTTGCTTCTGCTCTCTCTTAGATGCTTCCAGGCGCTTGGTCACACAGAGTCCTGCTCCTTAGCATCTGCTCATGCCAGAGACCCACACATCTCTATTCCCAAACATGACTAAACAACCCTGTGCCCTTCACCAGCCTCAGCCAGCATGGGCCAGAGCTCCTCCATCACAACACACATGGAGCACATTTCAGCCATCAGCCACCAAGTGAGTGGGGAGGCATCTTGGCAGCGCTGGGATCCACAGCCTCCTCCCCGTAGCTAGCCCACCCCCTGCCTGGAAAGCAGCTCAGCTGGTCTCAGCGGCCCTGACAGCCAGACCTGGGACCAGCCCCAACCCATTACAGACACCAAGATCTACTTACTGAAAGTTGAGGGTGTTGGAATAGAGGTGCAGGGCGGCCCGGTTACTGCAGGAGAACAAGGCACTGCTGAGCTGCACGGATTGGGCCAGGTAGGGTAGCATGTCCAGGCCCTGCCCCTCCCCTCTGGTGCCTCCTTCCCACCAATCCCACTTCCCGGGTCTTCACCAAAAGCCAAGGCCCCCAGGACTCCCGTCAAGGCAGCATCTCTCCCCTCAATCCCCCTTCCCTCAGCCCAGCTTCCACCTCTTCCTGACATGCAGGGAGACGTATTTGGCATTGAAGTTCTCTATCATCGCTCGAGAGGCCTGGTCCATCAGTTTCTGTGCCAGACCGAGGCGCCGATGGGAACGCTTCACAGCCTGGTGGAAGAGCAGAGAGGGGATGAGGGGCTGGGACCCTGAGGGCTGCCCCAACTAACCCCCACTTCCACCCCCACCAGAGCCTGGGTGGACTCTACAAACCAATGAGGTGATATGTCCATGGGGCACATCATCTGGGTCTTCTTCCCTGGAGAGAGAGGAAGGTGAGGCTGCAAAGGAGCTCTGTGTAGGCACCTCCACCCCCACCCCTGCCATACGTAGAGTGGACATGCAAACTCTAGGCTGGCCCTACAGCCACCTAAGACCCCAGCTGGGGGAGGGCTGGGAGCCTCTTGGATCAGCGCAGCTGATACTGCCACCCTCTGCTGCCTAAAAACCCCATGCATGCCGGGTGTGGTGGCACACGCCTAGAGTTCCAGCTACTTGGCAGGCCAAGAAAAGAGGATCGCTTGAGCCCAGCAGTTCAAGACCAGCCTGGAAAACATAGTGAGACACCATTTCCACAAAAAAAATTTGTAAATGAGCTGGGTATGGTGGCGCATGCCTGTGGTCTCGGCTGCTTGGGAGGCAGAGGTGACAGGATCATTTGAGCCTGGGAGGTTGAGGCTGTAAGTGAGCCGTGATCACGCCACTGCACTGCAGCTTGGGCAACAGAGCGAGACCCTGTCTCAAAAAAGAAAAAGAAAAAAAGAAATGAACCGTCAACCCAAAGACAAGGCAGAAGCTTAAATGCATATTACTAAGTGAAAAAGCAGCCAGTCTGAAAAGGCTGTATACGGTATGATTCCAATTCTGTGACATCCTGGAAAAGGAAAACTATGCAGACAGTAAAAAAATCAGTGGTTGCCAGGGGTTAAGGAGAGGGAGGGATGAATGCGTGGAACCCAGTGAAACTATCCTGTGATAATACAAGGTGGACACATGCCATTTGGTCAAAACCGTAAGGCTTACAACACAAAGAGACGTGCAGCAATGTAAACTGTTGGTTTAGTTCACAATATATCGGCCAGGCGCCGTGGCTCGCGCCTGTAATCCCAGCACTTTGGGAGGCCAAGGCGGGTGGATCACCTGAGGTCAGGAGTTCGAGACCAGCCTGGCCCACGTGGTGAAACACCGTCTCTAGTAAAAATGCAAAAATTAGCCGGGTGTGGTAGCACATGCCTGTAATCTCAGCTACTAGGGAGGGTGAGGCAGAAGAATCCCTTGAACCCAGGAGACAGACGTTGCAGTGAGCTGAGGTCATGCCACCGCACTCCAGCCTGGGCAACAGGGCAACAGAGCAACAGAGTGAGACTCGGTATCAAAACTAAACAAATAAATAATAAATCACATTCGTTTGTCACTTGTCACAAATGGATCACGCAAATCCAACATGCTACTAACAGAGGAAACTGGCAGGGATGGGTGCTGTGGGGTTCGATGAGAACTCCATGTCCTTTCTGTTCAACTTTTCTAAAAACTTTCAACTGTACTGAAAATAAAAAGCCTATTCTTTTTTTTAAAAGCCCACAGCAGCATCCACCAGACACGTGTAGCTTCTCTCTTCCTCCTTGATGACTCACATTTTGGCCAGGACATACCCCACAATCTTCCCATTCTCGTCCTCAGCAATGTAAGAGAGCTGGTGACAGAGAGGAAAGGGGAATGAGAAAACTTCGTGGTGGAGCTGGAGGAGCCCTTACAGGGACAGAAGCTGGACACGTGGCAAGCTGTATGACAGCTCACCACCTCCAGGCTGGGTGACCTGGTCTGCCCCAAGCCACACTGTGCCCTCCCCATGCCTGGAAAGAAAACACAATGTGGGGATCCTGCCCCTATTCTCTGCTCCCTTCAGGTGCCTTCTTTTCCATTGCCCCTGCCTGCCAGCTGAAAACACCCGGGAAGTCACCGACCATATAGCCCTCTGGGCTGACAGACTTGTCCACTCCCTTCCAGATGGCCCGATTGGATTTTCCTCGGCCTGGTTTTTCCCACGCCCAAATTCAGAAGCTGCCCACCTGGGGCCAGGAGAGGCCATGGTAGAAGTAGTATTTCATCTGGTAGTTCTCGGGCAGGCAGAGGAGGTTGCAGTGCTGCATGTTCATCAGGTCCTCCGGCTGCAGGGTAGGAGGACAGTGGAACGAGGTCAGTCAAGGGCGGCGGTGACCACGGGTGAGAAGCCTGCTCCCCGTCGTCTGCTAGGCCCCCCTCCCCGGGGCAGGGCAGGCACTGTGACGATCTGACTTTGCTCAATGCCCGGAGCACAGGAACAGGCGTGGGCGCCTAGAGGTTCTCGGAGCCCACCCAACGGAGGCCCGACATCACGTAAACAGGAGGGAATCGCAGCCCCTGCCCCGCGACCCTGCCTCTTCGGCGGGCTAGGCAAGTCTCAGAGGTCCGGAGGCCGCAGGCACACGCAGGGCCACCGGGATGGGCTCGGCCGGGGCCCTCGGGAGCATGCGCAGCAGCCACCGGGCCCGGCGCCCACGCGGCGCGGACAGCCTCCCGCCCAGGGCGCTCACCCTCGCATTGCGGATGTTCATAACGGCGGCGGGGCTCGCGGGTCCCAGCGGATCGTGAAGGCGCAGTCAGCTGCCGCCGCGCTCCGAAGCGACACCGGGACGGCGGGGGCTGGGACCGGGGCTGGGACCGGGGCTGGGCTACCTGGGCGGCAGCGGAAGGGGCGGTGCGCGCCGGGCTGGCCACCGGCCGGAAGTGCACGGCAGCTGGGCCCGTCCTCCCGGCCGCTGGCCAATGCGCGGGACAGGCCAGTGCGCGGGGCAGGCCAGTGCGTGGGGCAGGCCAATGCAAGGAGCCGGTCAGCGATGGGCAGGCCCGGGGGCGGGTCGGGACGGGCGCTGCCCTGGAGCTGGAGCCGGCCCCTCCCTCGGCGCGGCAGCCCTCCTCCCGGGAGCCCACAGACGCGGACGCGCGCACAGCTGCAGGTGGAACAGACTCAGCGTTTATTCCGCGCCTCGGCGGGCAGGGACAGGGGCAGGGGCGAGGGCGGGGGCGGGAGTCGGGCGGCTCAGCAGGGCGCCCAGCATCTCCTCGCACATGGCTAGGCACCGCGGCACGTGGAAGCAGCCTGCGGGGAGAGACGGGGACAGGCGTACAGGTGGTGAGGGCCGGGAGCCGCTGAGAGGCGCGACCCCTGCGGCCCCGCCCTGTCTCCTACTCACCTTTGAAAGGCCCTCCCTTGATGGTGAGGGCCACCTTGCCCTCTCGGCTCAGGTAGCCAAACCATTCCCCGTACTCGGGATCGCGAAACTGGAATAACAGAGACAGTGACAGCTAGCGCCGGCAGGACCCGCCCAGATGCCACTGCAACGCTACCCAAGGTCAGACACCGGGTTGACCGCAGGTAACGTGGCTCTAGAACCAACGATCTTAACCGCAACACCGCATCCTCCACAAAGATGAAAAAGCAGGGGTGGACGAAGCAGGCAGGCTGCAACTGTATAACCAACTGGGCAACAGGGCGAGACACTGCTAGTTGGAATGAAAGAACCCTGCCCTGATTGTAGTCGTGGTTACGTTGATTTAAAGAAACAAAGAACCCTGATGGAGGCGATCACCTGTCATGAAACTCTTCATAAGTGACTCCCTTGGAGCTCCCATTCCCTGCACTGGCCTGTCTTCCAGTAGATGAGATTGTGCATGTCTAGCAGAGATCTCATGCGTATCCTGGCTCACCATTTGTCCGAAACGCATCTCACCCTCCCTCTGCCCCTGCCCAGTGCCCACTCCACTCTCTTCTCTCTTCACCAGAATTCCATAGGGCATCTGTCTCAGGAAGGCTTGTCAGTTCGGCCCCTTCTCAAAAGGATCATGGAATCAATTACACTGAAGTCCACGATGAAAATACGTCGCGGTGGCTCACGCCTGTAATCCCAGCACTTTGGGAGGCCGAGGAGGGTGGATCACGAGGTCAAGAGATCGAGGCCATCCTGGTCAACATGGTGAAACCCCGTCTCTACTAAAAATACAAAAACTTAGCTGGGCATGGTGGCGCGTGCCTGCAGTCCCAGCTGCTCGGAAGGCTGAGGCCGGAGAATTGCCTGAACCCAGGAGACGGAGGTTGCGGTCAGCCAAGATTGCGCTATTGCACCCCAGCCTGGGTAACAAGAGCGAAACTCTGTCTCAAAAAAAATTCTGGGCGCAGTGGCTCAAGCCTGTAATCCCAGCACTTTGGGAGGCCGAGTCGGGTGGATCACGAGGTCGAGAGATCGAGACCATCCCCGTCAACATGGTGAAACCTCGTCTCTACTAAAAATACAAAAAATTAGCTGGGCATGGTGGTGCGTTCCTGTAATCCCAGCTACGCGGGAGGCTGAGGCAGGAGAATTGCCTGAACCCAGGAGGCGGAGGTTGCGGTGAGCCGAGATCGCGCCATTGCACTTCAGCCTGGGTAACAAGAATGAAACTCCGTCTCAAAAAAAAAAAAAGAAAAAAAGAAAATGTGTCTTTAGGCCGAGCGCGGTGGCTCACGCCTATAATCCCAGCATTTTGGGAGGCCAAGGCGGGCGGATCAGGAGGTCAAGAGATGGAGACCATCCTGGTCAACATGGTGAAACGCCATCTCTACTAAAAATACAAAAATTAGCTGGGCATGGTGGCGCGCGCCTGTAGTCCTTCGGGAGGCTGAGGCGGGAGAATTGCCTGAACCCAGGAGGCGGAGGTTGCGGTGAGCCGAGATCGTGCCATTGCACTCCAGCCTGGGTAACAAGAGCGAAATGCCATCTCAAAGAAAATGTGTCTTTAAATTGTGGCCCATAAGAATTGGTGTATTCTTGTTTGTAGGTGTGAACAGTTGCTATATTCTTTGTGGGAGGTAAAACTAGTCCTGGGCTGGGCACAGCGGCTCATGCCTGTCATCCCGGCACTTTGGGAGTTTGAGGCGGGAAGATCACTTGAGGCCAGGACTTTAAGCCCAGCCTGGGCAACATAGTGAGACCCCATCTCTAAAAAAAAAATTAAAGAATTAGCTGGGCATGACGCCTCAAAGCTGTAGTCCCAGCTACCTGGGAGGCTGAGGTGGGAGGATGGCTTGAGCCCAGGAGGTTGAGGCTGCAGTGAGCCGTGATTGTGCCACTGCACTCAGCCTGGGTGACAGAGACCCTATCTCAAAAAAAAATTAAAGAAAAAACTACTTGTGAGTCACACATAACTCAAGGTTAAAGTTATTAAAAAAAAGAAAAAAAAATTAGTTCTGTCTGTATTCATTCTATCTTTTGAGTTACGTTGTTCAAGTCCTTACTTTTTTCTGACTACTTGATCTGACACGGTGTCTGGATTTTTGCCTTCTATATTCTCTTATGTTGGTTGGTGCATAATGACTTACCTGTTTTTTGTTTTTTTGAGATGGAGTTTCCCTCTTGTCACCCAGGCTAGAGTGCAGTGGCATTATACCAGCTCACTGCAACCTTCACCTCGGGGGTTCGAGTGATTCTCCTGCCTCAGCCTCCTGAGTACTGGGGATTACAGGTGACCACCACCAAGCCCAGCTCATTTTTTGTATTTTTAGTAGAGACGGAGTTTCACCATGTCAGCTAGGCTGGTCTCAAACTCCTGACCTCAAGTGATCTGCGTGCCTCAGCCTCTCAAAGTGCTGGAATTACAGGCATGAGCCACCATGCCTGGCCCAACTTTTGTATTTTTTGTATTTTTTTTTTTTTGAGATGGAGTCTCACTCTGTCACCAGACTGGAGTGTAGTGGTGCAATCTCGGCTCCTCCTAGGTTCAAGCGATTCTCTTGCTTCAGCCTCCCAAGTAACTGGGACTACAGGTGTGCGCCACCATGCTTGGCTAATTTTTGTATTTTTAGTAGAGATGCGGTTTCTTTTACCATGTTGGTCAGATGGTCTCAATCTCTTGACCTCGTGATCTGCCCACCTCGGCCTCCAAAAGTGCTGGGAGTATAGGCACAAGCCACCACACCCAGCCAGTTTTTGTGTTTTTAAAGTAAAGATGGGGTTTTGCCATGTTGGCCAGGTTGATCTCAAATTCCTAACCTCAGGTGATCCACCTGCCTCAGCCTCTGAAAATGTTGATTATAACTTTTGTAATTGTTTAATGTCATCTCTATCACATTAAAATGTATTCCTTCAATTTCATTTTGGAGTTAAAATTGGTGGTCCCTAATACATACTTTATGAATGCATTAAATCTGAAGTAGTGACGACACTGGGACTTCTATTGCTAGTTTCAGTTAGAGGTTAGTACAAATAAAGGTGATTTCCCCCACAGGGTTTCAAAGCCCACAGACCCCAGAATAAGACGTCCTGCTATAATCCCCCCAGTACCAGGGTTTACCAGTGCAGTCAGAGTCATAGCTTTAGAAACACGTGACGCATCTTCATTCATTCATTCACCACCCAGGCCTTCACCACTGGGTGCTGTGCCCTGTCCTGGGTTCAGCAGCTCGAGGTGCCTTCTGGGCAGCAGTCAGGACAGCTTATCACTCTGCTCCTAGCACTTGGGCCTCGGGGGATCCCTGGCTTGGTTTTCTTCCTACGTCACCACTGATTCTTGTCTCCATTTCTCTTTTTGCCTCATAGATTTCAGCAGCATCTGTACTTTTTTTTTTTTTTTTTTTTGAGTATGACTCCAGGCTGGAGCGCAGTGGTGTGACCATAACCTAAGCAGTCCTCCTGCCTCAGCCTCCTGAGTAACTGGGACTACAGGCGTGCATGATACCCAGCTAATTTAAAAAAAAAAAATTTTAGAGATGGGGTCTCACTATGTTGCCCAGACTGGTTTTGAACTCCTGGGTTGAAGCGATCCTCCAGACTCAGCCTCCCAAAGTGCTAGGATTATAGGTGTGAGTCACTGTGCTCGGCAGCATCTACATTCTTATGAACTGAAAACACTCATGGCCCGTCCAGATCTTTCCCTCTGCACCAGAGACTCAGGAATCCCACTGCCGCTCCACCAGACTGTGAACCCTCTGTCCCCATGAGCCCTCACTGGCTGGGGTGACAGCTACATCTTCCTCTGCTGTCCCAGCTTCTGCCGTATACCCTACAGGCTTCCCCCCATAACAAAGTCCTAGGACAAAAGTAACAATGGAATCAGACCAGGCAGCTGGCCACTCTGCCTTTATCCTCACTCCCAGGCTGCCAGGCCTCCCGGATTGACTCGGCCCCTGCTCAGTGCTTCCCCACTGCCATCTCATAGGAAGGAGCCCCCCACAACCCTCTCCAGAGGTATTACCCCCACAGCTGTCACTCTCACCAACCCTAGGTCTGCTTTTGTAAGGTCTGCTCCCCGACCCACACCTGCCACCAAAATTCAAGCTCTAGGAGGGCAGGGGCGTCTTCATTAACTGAACAAACAGCACTGGGACTCCAGGAACTCTCGGACCAGCTGAGCAACTGTGCCCAGCAAGGGGGCAAGAACACAGCCTGGCCAGACTCCCCCCATTCCTCCATTCAGCCTCTAGAGGGGACAAGCAGGCAGTGCTCACCTGGCAGAAGGTGTACTCAGCCACTTGGTAGAAGAGGCGCAGCAGCTCAGGGTCCCCGCTGTCGCTGTAACCCATGAGGAAGGCAATCATGGCTTCACTGTGCGGCCACCAGAGCTTCATGGCCCACTCCAGCTGGGGGAAGAGCAGAGCTGGGCATCTCAGCAGGACACTCCCCTCCCCAACTTTCCAGACCTGGCTCTGTCTCCATTGGCCGAAGCTACTGGAACTGAACTCCAGGACCCTACCGGTGGCATCAGCTTCGTGACACCAGGGCCCCAGACCAACAGGACGTATGTCCGAGCATCAGTGATTCACCAGTTCCCTGGTGGCCTCCGTGTAACATGGGACTGGAGAGCACTGGTGTCAGAGGCGTGTGAACCAGAGCCACTCCATCTTAAACAAGGAGCTCGGCAAAATGAGGCTGAAATCTACTAGGCTGCATTCCCAGATGGTGAAGGCCTTCTGAGTGAGTCACAGGATGAGACAGGAGGTCAGCACAAAACACAGGTCAGAAAGACCTTGCTAATAAAACCGTTTGCAGTAAAGGATCTGGCCAAGACCCACCAAAACCAAGATGGCGATGAGAGTGACCTTTGGTCGTCCTCACTGCTACACTTTCACCAGCATCATAACAGTTGACAAATGCCATGCAATGTCAGGAACTTACCCTATATGGTCTAAAAAGGGGAGACATTAGTAGTCCATCCCTTGTTTAGCATGTCCTCAAGAAATAACGATAAACACGGCACTTTCCTAATAAACTTGCTTTCACTTTACTCGATGGACTTGCCCTGAATTCTTTCTGGCATGAGATCCAAGAACCTTTCCTGGGGTCTGGATCGCCACCCCTTTCCTGTAACACTGGCACAGAAGCCAACAGCAGGCCTTTAGGTTCCAATCCAGCCGCAAGTTACCCTCTACAGGGTGGGTCACACACGGCCCTGGGTGCTCTCCCACCTGGGTGGGGCAGAAGTCATCAGCATCCTGGAAGTAAAAGAGGCCTCCGTGGTCAGGGTCCCATCCGGAACGGAAGGGCAACAACAGGAACTTGTCAACAACGTGAGCTCGAAGTTCAGGGTCGCCTTTCCGAATGCAGTGACGGAGCAGAAACCAACCGGCTTCCAGTGCGTGGCCTGGTGAGGAATGAGGTAAGGAAGGGCCTGGGTGGGGTTGAGGGAGGGGACAGAGGGAGTGAAAGGCTCTCTGCTCCTCCCTAACAGCGATGCTCTGACCTTCCTGGCCCTGGAGTCTGCTCCACTGCAGAAACCCCCAGCCTGGGTAGGCCCCATCCCCTCTCCTCTGCCTCCTCAAGGCCTCCCCGCTAGGCACTCCGACATCTGAAGCCTAGAACGCAAGGCTCAGTGCTACCCTCCTCTTGGGAGGCCCCCAGCCCACCCTGTCTCTCACCTGGGTTCTGCTGTCTCCCCAGGCAGCCAGAAAGTTCCTTGCCATCCTCTGACACATTCTCCAGCACAGCTTGTCCAGCCCTCTGCCCAGAAGGAGCAGAACAGAATGTTGGCTCCAGCCCTTTTCCCCACCCAGCCACACACTAGAAAGCCCCAGCCCAGGTCCGTGTGGTGGCTCACGCCTATAATCCCAGCACTTTGGGAGGCTGAGGCAGGTGGATCATCTGAGGTCAGGAGATCTAGAGCAGCCTGGCCAACATGGTGAAACCCAGTTTCTACTAAAAATACACAAATTATCCAGGCGTGGTGGCACACACTTACAATCTCAGCTACTCAGGAGGCTGAGGCACGAGAATCACTTGAACCTGGGAGGCAGAGGTTGCAGTGAGCTGAGATCGGACCACTGCACTCCAGCCTGGGAGACAGAGTGAAGCTTTGTCTCCAAAAAAAAAAAAAAAAGAAAGAAAGAAAAAAGAAAGACCCAGCCCCAGAAATATCCCTTCCTCCCTCCCTCTCATCCAACCCCCTGGCCCTGCTGGCTTGGGTGGGCCAGGCTCAGAGGGGTGTTGAGAAGGGGCTGATTCACTGCCTTGGGCTTAGGAAGTTTTGTTTTTTTTGTTTTTTTGGTTTTGTTTTGAAACGGAGTTTCGCTCTTGCTGCCCAGGCTGGAGTGCAATGGCGCAGTCTCGGCTCACCGCAACCTCCGCCTCCTGGGTTCAGGCAATTCTCCTGCCTCAGCCTCCTGAGTAGCTGGGATTACAGGCACGCGCCACCATGCCCAGCTAATTGTTGTATTTTTAGTAGAGACGGGGTTTCACCATGTTGACCAGGATGGTCTCGATCTCTTGACCTCGTGGTCCACCTGCCTCAGCCTCCCAAAGTGCTGGGATTACAGGCGTGAGCCACTGAGCCTGGCCAGAAGTTTTTTTAGACAGAGTCTCGCTCCTGGGTTCAAGTGATTCTCATGCCTCAGCCTCCTGAGTAGCTGGGATTATAGGAGTGCACTCCCACACCACAGTACCTTTTTGTATTTTTAGTAGAGACAGGGCTTCACCATGTTGGCCAGGCTGGTTTTGAACCTCTGATCCGCCTGCCTCAGCCTCCCAAAGTGCTAGGATTACCGGCATGAGCCACAGCACCTAGCCCCAGCCTACGAAGTTCTAATCCTGTCTTCTGGCCTGATCCTTTCCAGCAGAGGAGGGTGAAACATTGAACGGCGACAGACAGGGCGGGATTCACAGCCCAGAGGCCTGGGAGGGACTTGGTGGGGGGGGGTCTTTTGCTGTCAGACTAAGCCTGGGGTTCCGAACCGTCCCTCCCACCCTCGGGCCCTCCACCTTCCCCAGGTGGGGACTTCTCCTAATCTCTGTCTCTCCCGGTGTGTCCAAGCCCAGGGCACTGCAGGGAGAGGGGGAATGGGGGAGTGGAGGGGTGGAGGGGTGGAGGGGTGGAGGGGTGGAGGGGTGGAGGGGTGGAGGGGTGGGGGAGTGGGGGAGTGGGGGAGTGGAGGGGTGGAGGGGTGGAGGGTGGAGGGGTGGGAGAGTGGGGGAGATGGGGGAGTGGGGGGAGTGGGGGGTGGAGGGGTGGAGGGGTGGAGGGGTGGGGGAGTGGGGGTGGGGGGTGGGGGAGTGGAGGGGTGGAGGGGTGGGGGCGTGGGGGAGTGGAGGGGTGGAGGGGTGGGGAGTGGAGGGGTGGAGGGGTGGGGGAGTGGGGGGGTGGGGGTGTGGGGTGTGGGGTGTGGGGGAGTGGAGGGGTGGAGGGGTGGGGGAGTGGGGGGGTGGGGGGGTGGAGGGGTGGAGGGGTGGAGGGGTGGGGGAGTGGAGGGGTGGAGGGGTGGGGGAGTGGAGGGGTGGAGGGGTGGGGGAGTGGGGGAGTGGAGGGGTGGAGGGGTGGAGGGGTGGAGGGCTGGAGGCCTCCTGCCACCCCAGCTCCCCAGGGGTCCCCCACCTGCACGTGTTGCAGAACCCTCCGGGCGCACCAGTCACCCAGCTCTGCATATTTGTCCGCCAGCTCCTTGTCCGCCTCCCCGAGCTGCTCCACCAGGTTCAGCAGCATCATGGGCACTGCCATGGGCTCCACGGCTGGGGCCCCCTGGAGCTGGGGCCGGCCCAGTTCCGACGCGTCCTCCCGTACCCAGTGGACAATCTGATCCATCATCTCCACCGCTTCCGTCTGGTAGTGTGAGAGGCAAGGGGAGGCCCAGGCTGAGGCCCTGGGGTGGCAGAGCTGATTCATCTCCTGAACTCCAAAGACACCTACTCGGGGCCGAGCACGCAGATCCACCCCACCCTGCCTTGTGGGCTCCCAGTCTAGAGATACAGCCCTTCCCAGGTTGTGGGGGTCAGGGTCTGGCAGTACAAGGAGCCCAGGGCAGAGGGAGGAGCCTCTTCCTGGTTAGGGGCAGGTCATGGATACAGCCCTCTCTGTCTGGGCCCCTGTGGTAAGGGAGTTGTCAGAGGTAACGGGGACTTGGCCGGAAGATGGGGAGGGGACTTGCATCTTGAGTAGGAATGCATCAGGCGCCCAGGGCAGGGTCCCAGGGTGGGGTCTTCAGGGGCACCCTTAGGCCCAGTGGCCGCCTTAGCAGCCCTCCTCTCACACACCTGGTACCGTGCTTCCCCTGTGGTCCTCCACAGCTCGTCCATGGCCATAGTGTAGAAACACTCGCTGAAGATGGTCCGCTGCACCTTGACCGGGCGGCCCGTCGCGAGTCAGCACAAAGGCACACTTCTTGCCAGGAGGTGCCACCCGGGCGTAACGCAGCAAGAACTCACCACCTGGAGGTTGGGGGGTTGGCATGCCAGGAGTAAGGCAACCCTTGAGCCTCCCCAGTCCTTTCATGCTTCTAGACCCCTCTAGAAGCATGAGATCCGCACATGTGCGGATCTAGGAACTCCACACAAGCCCTGTTGAGTAAACATGGACTGGGTCACTGGGAGATAGGCAGGAAGGGGGTACCTGCTTTTGCTGCATCCAGGAGCTGCGCATGTGGAAGCGCTCAAAAGTGCGGTACAGGCGGCAATACATCCAGACTGCGGTACGGGAAGGAGGGAGGGAACGTGGCTGAAGCGGCCAGCTGGGGTGAGGTGAGGAGCCCTTTGAAGTGATAGGCCCTGTGCCTTGTGGTCTGAGCTTCCAGGCTGGGAACACCCTACCTGCCTCCCCTGTAGCCACACATACTTGAGGTCATCATACACCTGCCCATCCCGGCCAAGGCACGTGAAGAAGCCCCTGTAGGAATGCAGGGTTAGCAGAGCCTGGAAGGGGCCTTCCCTGCCCCTCCTGCCCCTCTGGGGCCAGCAAATCTGTGAGGGGCCTGAGAGTGAGGAGGGGGCTCGGGAAGGGCAAAAATCCTGCGGAGGACTCCAGAAATGCGCCAAGTACCCGTGCTCCTGGTCGTGGGAGTGCTCCATCCAGAAAGCCACCACACGGTCCAGCTCCTGCCCCACGCGCTCCTTCCAGGCCTGCAGAGTCTCCCGCTCTTTCTCCATATCCTAAGGGAATTGGGGCTTGAAGGCACAGCCCCCGAGTAGGACCTAGGCACCCCCAGCCTTGGATCTAGCCCTCAGGGATTCCCCCCACCTCCACACGGGCCTTCAGACTTCACCATCCCCAGGACCCTTCAAGACAGCACTCCCCCCACGGGCCCCCCTACTGGCCTGTCGTGCTCGGAGAGCTTTGCTCATCCCTCCCTCTCCTCCAGGAAGCCAGACAGAGTTGGTGGAGGTCCCGTGACTGTCACTCAGCTGACAGAGCCGCGCCCGGGCTCACCCACCCCCTCCTCTTCAGGGTTCCGCTGGGCCTGAGGGCGGGGCTTTGGGGCCCCACCCCCACGCTCATTCCTACCCCTCCCCTCCCTTTGGATGGACCTGTCCTGCCAGGGCCCCTGCTGGGTGCCCGCAGCTCAAGATCCTCCTTGGTGGGAAATGCTGTGATGGCAGGACGGTCTGGGATGAGGTACGGGGCTGCCACCCACCCCACACCAGCTACCTTTACAGGAGCCCAGAGAGGGCTCTAATGTGCCCCCTAGTGTGCCAGGGGTCCAGGCAGGGTGACTGAGGACCTTGGCTCTAGCAAGCCTGTGGGGCAGGGCCCTCTGACCTGTCACCACATAGATACGGCACGCACACGACTGCCTCCTCTGGGCATAGATATGGCAGGCAGGTAGGCAAGTCCTTTTTTTTTCAAACAGGGTCTTGTTTTGCCTCCCGGGCTGCTCACTGCAGCCTTGACCTGCAAGGCTCAAGCGATCCTCCCACCTCTGCCTCCCAAGGAGCCAGGATTACAGCTGTGTGTCACCATGCCTGGCTAATTTTTGTTTTTTTAGTAGAGACAGGGTTTTGCCATGCTGCCCAGGCTAGTCTTGAACTCCAAAGCTCAAGTGATCCACCCACCTCAGCCTCCCAAAGTGCTGGGATTATAGGCGTGAGCCACCACACCCAGCCTAGCACCAACCACCTCAACAGTCAGTAATGGGCAGCCATTGGTGCTGACTTTTTTTTTTTTCCGGAGATGGAGTCTTTCTCTGTTGTTCAGGGTGAAATGCAGTGGCGTGATCTCGGCTCACTGCAACCTCCACTTTCCGGGTTTAAGCAATTCTCCTGCCTCAGCCTCTTGAGTAGCTGGGATTGATAATAGGTGCCTGCCACCACACCCAGCTAATTTATTTTTTATTTTTAGTAGAGACGGGGTTTCACAATGTTGGCCAGGATGGTCTCAAACTCCTGACTTCGTAATCCACCTGCCTCAGCCTCCCAAACTACTGGGATTACAGGCCTGAGCCACCACGCCCGGCCTTGGCGCTGACTTCCTTTTTTTTTGAGTAGGAGTTTCGCTCTTGTTACCCAGGCTGGAGTGAGTGCAATGGCGGGATCTCGGCTCACCAAAACCTCTGCCTCCAGGGTTCAGGCAATTCTCCTGCCTCAGCCTCCTGAGTGGCTGGGATTACAGGCACGTGCCACCATGCCCAGCTAATTTTTTGTATTTTTAGTAGAGACGGGGTTTCACCATGTTGACCAGGATGGTCTCGATCTCTTGACCTCGTGATCCACCCTCCTCGGCCTCCCAAAGTGCTGGGATTACAGGCTTGAGCGACCGCACCCGGCCTGGCGCTGACTTCTTTACACAAGTGACACAGCTCTGAGGCCTGACAGTAAATGCAGGTAAGAGCCCACATCCCCCTTCTCTGGGCCTATTTTCCAGCTGCCCAGATCTGTCTGTAGCTCTATGACCGTCCGACCTAACGGTGCTACAAGGCCAGTGTCTTTCCAGGCCGACAGTGCACGTTTCCAGCCATGGGCATGGTGCTGCACTGCTGGCCTTTGATGCCACAGTGACTGTCTCAGTTCCCCTTTGGGGTGCTTGGGAATGAGGCTGATGCCCCTGGCAGGTGGGGGCACATCCTGTGTGTTCGCACCCGCCCTCAGCCTCGGCTCATGCTCAGGGATGAACTTTGTGCCCAGCCGGGCTGTATCTACCTGCCCTGCTGGCAGGCCTGTCATGGTCATGTTCATGGCCAGCCTCCCTCCTGCGTCACCAAGGCTGAGCCTTGGTATGTGGAGGGTTCTAGGCTTCTCTGGGTGGTCCCCCTAGCCCTGGGTCCAGTGGACAGGGCCTTGGTCAATCCTGAGGGAGAGCACTTAGCTTTCCTGGGCTCCCTGGGAGCAGGACCAAGAGATGCCCTGCTCCCCCTCCCTGTCCAGGGCTCTTCCCTGGAGGCTGTGGAGTGGTACCCTCCGACAGAAATTCGGTATTTTCAGATAAACACCAGAGGCATTACTGATGTGACCGTTGCCTTCTGAATTGTGATGCAGCCACCGTGAGACAGGTGAGCTGAAGGCAGGTGGAGGATGGGTAGCCCTGCAGGTGCCAGCTACAGGAGTGGGGTGGGAAGAACCCTTATACTGCCCCCACCAGGCGAAGCACCCACAAGCCTTTTGCCAAAGGTATGGCCAACCCCATGTGGCCCCTGGCCTCCCCCAGCCCCAGGCATGGCTCCTACTGCTCTGCTCCAAAGGACACTTTCCCACCCCTGTCCTTGGGCCTCTGAGAGGCTGGGCTCTGTGGCAGGTCGTAGTTGGTGCAGTGGCCAAGACAGACGTGGCTCCTGGAGTCAAGCCCTGGCCATGTGGGGACACAGAGGATCCCACATGACAGGCTTCCCAGGAGAGGCCACATGTGACAGGGCCTTGCACACACACCCATGCCAGGTGGAGACAGGGAGGCTTTTGTTACTCCAGGAGTTTCAGGGGGTAGAGGTGTGTGCGGGAAACAAAGGCAGGCGGTGGGGCTTGGCGGGGGGGGGGGCAGGGAATGCAGGTACACTAGGCCTGAGAGCCCCAGGAGCACCATGCCACTCCCCTCAGACCCGCCTAGGCCTGTGCTGCCCCAGGGCTTTCTGTACCTCTGGGCTGGTGAGCACTGAGTACAAATCCAGCTGTCCCGCCAGCCCAATCGCTAGGTGGTCTGGATCACGAGCTCTGCTTCTTCCCCTTGTGGGCATGGCTCACATGTAAGACGAAGCAAGATGAGGGAATCCACCTCTGCAGTACCCACAGTGTGCTTGTGACTCAGCACCTCTTCCCCCCAACACACCCCAGACCACTGCTGGTGACCTGCCAGACCTTTGCCCCATCCCATCTTCTAGTGCAGGGAGGGAGGGATCCAAGCCCCAGACAAAGTCAGCAGCGGCTGCTCAAGGGGCCCCTTGCTTCTTGCCCTGCAAAGCAGCTGCCAAGAAACCTTCTGGACCCTGGTCCAACTTGGTCCAAAGACCACACACCACAGTGGGGGCCTTCCTCACTTTCACCGGAGCTCAGGTCCCCCACCAGGGGGCTCCGTGAGCCTCGGGCAGTTCTCAGCCTTCCTGCTTAGGCCTCCTGCAAGGATGCCGGGACACAGTGAGCCACCTGGTGGTTATTTCAAAAAAAGTCTTTTAATTGTTCAAAATAGCACAAAACGACATCGCACTATGGTAATATTGAGTCACAGGGGTTACTCTACAATAGTGAACGGTGTATTCTCCTCAGAAACAAATCAATAGGCGCGCAAGAGAAGGGAGGGGGTAAAACAACAGGACCAGGTGAGTAGGCTCCAAGGTGACTAAACGTGACATTTTCCACAGCGAAATATACTATAATACAACAAACCAGAGGCCCTGGAGGACACAGGCTGCTGTATCTCCAGGCAGAGGTTGGTGGGAAGGGCTGGAAAGATTGGCTGCTCAGTTCAAAGCCTTCTGACTTGCTGGCAAACCTTGCTCCTTGACGGAAGTTCCGGGAGGAGGGTAGAAAACTGCAAGCAGATACCCCATCCCAGGAGCCTGCAGGCTGCACATTCACGCAGTTGCTATGCTGCTGCTGCTGGCCGCCGGATGTTGCCCTAGCCTCCCTTGTAGGTGACACTTCACAGCTGCCCTCCCGGGCTGCCTCCAAGGACACCTGGTTCCCCTCCATTCTCCACCCTTTCCATGACAACTTGAGGGAGGTGGCACAGCGGCTGCAGAAAGCAGCATCCCCATGTGGGAGGCAGCGCCGGTGTTGCTGAGGGAGGGGGCGTGGGGAGGGCTGGGAACCCAGGACGAGGCCCCAGCCCTCCCTCGAGCTTCCCCAGGCTCGACCCTATAGGTGTGGAGTGATTGCCCATGAGGAATGAGCTGTCCTTTCTTTGTTCCAGCAGCCTGAGGACAGGCAAAGGGGTAGCGGACAGGAGCCAACAACAAGAAGTTGGGCCGGGCCGCAAACAGCAGGCGCCACATGGCAGATTCCACACCTCTCCTGCCCTGGCTGGCCCCAGCTTTTCCTCCAGAAAGATCCCTGCCAAGAATTAGCCAAGGAGAAAAAAGCAAAAAAACAAAAACACACAAAAAAGAAAAAAGATTACACATTCTGTACACAGCTAACAACAAAAAGAGACAAAACCCCACACGCTAAAATTACAATGAAAGTGTGAACTTCACCAATTTCAACCTAAAAAACACAACCAATGCAGCCGTCGGCGGCATGGCCCACAGGGACCTTTGCACAGGTGCTGCCCAGGCCGCCACGGGGCTCCTTGCCCCTCTTTTTTCTTTTTCCTTCTTTTCTTTTTTAAAATGGGAAAGAAGAGGGGAAGAGGATAAGAGTTGGAGCACAAAGGCCTCTGAGAAAAAGTGTAAGCTTCCTGTGGGATCACTGAGCAGGGCGGACCGCGGGAGCCTGAGGAAGGGAGGTTAGGTGGCTGGAAACACAAGGGGAAGAAAAGAAAATGGAACCAGACACCCGGGCCAGAGTGTCGGGAAAGCCGCCCGGGGGAAGGCCAAGGGTGTGCCTTTCCTCCGCTCCATGCCCGCCCCCGACCTGGCCCCTTGGCAAAGCAAAGCACACACAGCCCCGGGAGGACAGCACTGGCTGTCCTCAGCTCCGCCCTCCCTAGTTAGAGGGGAGGAAAGGAAGCGTGCTCCTCTCTCTGCTTTCCCATCTGCCTCTGCTTCCTCCCAACTGCAATGGTAAAATGTGCTTTCTTTAGATTATTTTAAAAACAGAAAGAGAAAGGGGGGAGGAGGAAACTGCGGCTCTGGAGGGTGAAGTGCGAATGCCGGGGCGGGGCAGGGTGGGGGGTGGGCCTTGGCGGGTGTTCCTGAAGCAGGGGAGTCTGGAGAAGAATCCAGGGACTGGTCAGCTTCCTCTCACTGACCATCGGCCTTAGATTTCTTTGGAGCAGATTTCCTTGGAAGGCAGAGAAAGGAAACAGACAGTTAATGTGGGCCTCACACCACGGGAGGCCCATCGTGCGGGGCCGGTTAAGTGCCCCAAGTCATTTGATGAGAGGCTGAGCCCAGCTATTTCCACCCCCAGCCTCAGAAAGTTCCGGAGAAGGGCTTCCTGCTTACATTTCTGGAGAGGACATGGGCCGTTTGCTGGCCGGCTTGGTGCCAGAGCTGTCTTTACTGGTTTCTGGAAGGAATGAGAGAGATGGGTGAGCAGCACTGTGACAACAAGAGCAAGGAACACCTGCGCCCTGCCCGCCCACAGAGCCTCTTGGTGCCACACAGTGCTCAACAGCAGCCAGCAAGGGTAGGGCACCGGCCCGGTGGGCGGTCACCTTTTGCCCTGCTCCCTGTCTAGAACACGACACCACTCACTCCCCTCTGGATGCAGGTTAGAAACCCACTCAGCTCAGCTCCCACCTACCATTGCCGTCCCAGGTCCCAGGTCCCAGGTCCCACAGTCCCAGTCAGCCCCAGAGGAGCTGAAGCAGGAGCATGAGCTGACCGGAGGCGGCTGGTCCCCCTTGCATCCCACCCCTCACCTGCTGCGTGCCAGGGACCTGGGACACGCTGTTTTTGGGCTTAGAAACCTATGCTTTCCCACAGCCCTCTCAGTCCTTGTCCCCTCAAACATCCTGGGGCAGCGTCTCCTGCACCACCAGGCCTGGAGCTGGGGCCCCTGTTCCACTCGACAGCTACCCGTTGGGGGCTGTGTATGCGCCAAAGGGCGGCGGGGAGACATGGCACATGGAAAGAAAATCTCAGAGGGCAACAGTTCCGCCTGCTGCACCTGGCTCCCTGTGCCTTCCCTAGAAGCTGCCTGAAAAGCCCACAAAGGACACTCACCTTGCAGCCACCTCACTTGTGTGGCTGGGCCGTAGCCCTTCTCGTTGCGGGCGGCTATGCGGAAAATGATGGCAGGCTTGGTGGTGTAGTCGATGTGGGCATTGGAGAGGCTGGAGGACTGCACGAGGCAGGAGGGGCTGGGCCCGCAATACACTCGCATGAAGGCCAGCTGGGCTGGGGTGGAGCTCTTGAGCTCACTCCCAGTCTGCGAGCTCTGGATGGCCAGGTACACCGAGTACTCGATGATCTTGCCGGAGGTCACAGAGGGTGGCTCCCAGGTGAGGTGAGCACCATCAGGACTCTATAACCCAGGGGGTCAGAAGGTCAACAACAGAGCAAGCTAGAAGCTTCCAGAACTGACTGATCATGGTTCCCATAAACCACTTTCTAACACTGCAGAGAGATACCATGTCACGGTTCAAGGAGCTTCAAAGAGATCTTCCCGCAAGTAGAAGGGCTAAAACAAACTGGGATTCAAAACCCATGTGCTGAGGCAGGAGGGAACCAAGTAGGTACAGACGGTCACCCCACAGCAAGACTCACTTTGCTGATTTAATGGCCACAAGGGGCCCTGGGAAACCAGGCAGACATGTCTTAAAGGCTGAGATTTCACTGAAAGGCCCCCGGCCGCAGGCGTGATTCCGGCAACACGAAACTTATAGGCTGTGCCTGGCTGCAGCTCCTGCTTCTTCAGCTGGTATAGTCAGGGACATTGCCCGAGTCGTCCTGGGAAGAGAGGAGTGGCATGAACTCTGCTGGGAGAAGGCAGCTCTGGGCCACCCCCGGGATGCTGAAGGTCTGTGGTGACTACGGGCCAGAGGGAAAGAGGTCAGCGGTGGCTGGCCCCTTATGGCAAGGAGGGACACAGTGAGGCGGCCTGTGGCCAGGTAGTGGCGGGAAGGAACCAAAGCTCTCCTTTTCTCTCCTGCTTCAGGGGGATGGTCTCTGCCGGGCTATTCTCAGGCTTCCTGGCTACTCTAGCTTGGCCCAAAGATGGGGAGTTTCCTGTAAGCCCCACTTAGGACAGTGGAGCCAAGACCCACCCACCTGAGGGCATCAGCTTCTGCGGACACTTACGTCTGATGGGACAGCATCGTCTGGTGGCAGAAAATAGTGTGTCACCATTACATTGGTGCCCTTAATGACCCCCACATCAAACCACTGGTTTTCCTTCTTCATGGGGGCTTTGCTGGGTGGGGGCGGCAGGTCCGGCTTCTGGAAGACAGAATCAGGGTGATGAAATCAGGCCCTCAGCACCCAGAGGCAGTGCTGCCCCCCAGACCCAGCCTCAGGAGCCCCACCACACCCAACTCACCACACCCAGGGACTCGATGCCATTGGCCACTTCAGTCAAGGTAGCTGCAGCCTGCAGCTTGGCTGGGCTGGCCACCACAACCGGCTGGGGGGCCACAAATGTGTTGGATGGAGCCAGGCCTGTGAAGAAAGGTGTCAGTGAGAAAGACTATGAAGACTTGGCTCCCAAGTGGGACCCAGCCTCCTGTCCTGCCGTGGCCTCCCTGGGTGGCCCCACCACCCCAGCACTGATTCGCCTTTAGCCGCTTACTCTCAGTGGCTGTTGAGGGCAGTAGCGCCACGGTGCTGGGGACGGTGCCGGCTAGCTCGTTGAGGCAGTTGCTCTCAATGGCCGGGTCATTGAGACTATCAGCAGGGGCCAGGGCCTCAGTGGGGAGGTGGTGATGCTGCTGCTGGGCCTGGGCCTCCTGTAGCTGCTGCTGCTGCACCAGGGCCGCCAGCTCCTGCTGTGTCAGCACAATGGGGATGGTGGTGGCCTGGCCCTCCTGGCCCTCAGCCGACAGGTGCCCCAGCTCTGCCTGGGTCACGGTTGCCGCTGCCTCGGACGTGTCCATGGGCTCGCCGGTGCCTGCTCCAGGGTCAAGAGACACACTACTTATTAGGAAGGCTGGCCAGAGGCAGGTGGCCCAGGCGGAGGCCCCCAGAGCCTGTCCTAGAGACACTGTCCACCTTCCACCCGTCCTCCACTATAGGATAAGCCCTGGCCAAGGGGCCCCGCCTGTTTCCCGGGCAGTAACCCCAGCCAGCCGGTCCCATGTGGCAGTCCCCACTATCTGGCCTGCCTGGGGTCCCCTGTGCCCATGCTCCCCATCACATCTGGCTCATGCCACCCTTGAGAGAAATGGGTTCCTCTTCCCAGGCTGTCTCTGTGGTCTACCGCTCCCCCGAGGTGGTGCTGGCGCTCACCCATAACAGCCTGCTGTGCAGCCTGGAGCACCGCCTGGATGGCCAGGGCCTGGGCTTCCTCAGTGGCTGCAGCCTGGGCGGCTGCTTCTGCAGCAGCAGTCACTGCCAGCTCTTCGGGGGTGAGCCCCGTTACCATGAGGGTGGTGGTGCCGGCCTGGGCCTCAGCCATTAGCTCTTGGGGAAGTGATAACTGATCTACTTCAGGCTGTGCAGGTGGGGGTGGCTGGACCACCACAGTGGCCACCACTGCAGAGCTGGCAGACTCCTGGCCCGAAGATGGCTCCCCTGTGCTGCTGAGATCCACGGCGGCCGGGAGCTCAGGGGTCTGGGAGGCTGACAGGACCTCGGCGGACTCCCCCATCAGGGCTGTGGAGGCCGACTGTAGGAGCTGCCGCGGCGGCAGCTGCTGGCGAGGCCCTGGTGACACCTGGAGTTCCTCTGGGGGCTGCAGGATGTCAACAGCAGAGAAGGGCATGTCAGAAGTTTCTGTGTTGGCTATGGTCACTGTTATTTTGGCCGGGATGGGGACTTCGGTAGTCAGAGCCCCTGGGGCAGTCTCAGTCATTGATGATATCTTCTAGAAAGGGAGAGAAGCCCCTGTCAGAGGGAAGGAGAAGGGGGCCAGAACCAGGAAGCAGGGCTGAGAAGCAAGCCAGCCTTCACCTTTCCTTGTGGGCCTAAGTTTTCACTCTCGATGGGCCAGCTCGAGCCCATGTTAAATGGGGGAAGAGGAGTGGGCAGTGGTTCTCTGAGCATCATGAGGACAGAGGCCCTTGAGACCCCTGGTCAGGTTTAACCTGTCCTCAGAGTCATCCTGGCCTGGACAGACACACACTCAGACCCCGCCACGTCTTGTACAAGCTGTGGTGAAGTGACACACGATGGTAACCAGTCACAGATATAAAAGCGCCCCAGAGATGCGGGGGAATGCAGCAGACATCAAGGCTGCCCTTTTATGGTCTGGAAAAATAACCAGGAGGAGCCCCCATGCCTGGTAAAAGAGCGACATCTGGTGTCTTGACTGTGGAATTGCACAGGCGTAGGCAGGGAAGGCAGAGAGGAAAAGGACCCCCTGGGCTCTTACCGGCACAGAGGGGCCTGGGACCGGCGTGGACTGTGTCACAGTGGTCACAGCCCGCGTCAGTGTGGAGGACACAGTTGTCGTGATGGCACTGGAGCTGGTGATGTTCACGCTGTCGCCCTGGGTGCTCTCCACCTCTCCCTGATCGCTGGTAGTGGGTGGGGTGTCTGTGGGGGCAATAGGCAGGGGCTGCTAAGCAGGAGCCCCCAGGCCTACAGTTGGCTTGACCACCATGGGCTTCCTGTACTCCCAAGGGGAGGGTCAGAGAGGGCAGAACAGGCTCCTGGAGATCCGCCATCTGCTGCTGGCACAACCAGGACGCCCCAGCCCACCCCGCTGGTAAATTGGGTGCCCAGGAGCCTGACTGGGGGACTCTGGTCGAACCCCCACCATCGTTCTCTCACCCTTTCGGCCTGGGGGTCTGGGAGACCATGAAATCCAGGTGCCACCTTCACTTACCTTGGTTTGAGCTCATGTTGGAAGTGACAGTGGTAGCTGTGTGAGTGGTGCCTGTCTCGTGGGTCTCACAGGGGGGGTTGGAGCATACCCTCTGTGTTGGAAAAGGAGCCAGCAGAACGGTGCCAGCCTGGGGAGTGACGTTGGGCACTGCTGCCGCCTCTAGGCCAGACTCCAGGGTCCTGCGGGAAGAAGTGGCATCGGGAAGCAGGGCGCCCGCGCCAATGGACATGGTGGTGCCGGTGGAAGTGGTCTGGTGTGTCTCACAGGGGCGACCAGCAGGGGGTTGCTGCCCACCCTCGGCCTGGCCTGTGCCCCCATTTGAAGTGGCTGTGGTGGCCGTGTGGGTGGTGCCCGTCTCATGGGTCTCACACGGCGGATTGGAGCACACCCGCTGGGCGCTGCCTGCATTCGAGGTAGTGGCAGTGTTGGTAGTGCCTGTCTCATGGGTCTCACATGGTGGGTTGGAACAGACTTGGGTCACACTGGCCGAGGGGCACAATAGTGCCTCCAGGGCCGTCACAGTCACTGTGGTGCTGGGCGAGCCGCCCTGGAGGCTCTCACACACAGGTGCCGCGCGGGGCTCCCCAGCACCCACACTAGAACGGGCCATGGTGGCGGTGTTGGCTGCATGGCTGTGGCGCCCCGTGGGCAGGTCCTTGCTGCCTGGGCTGCTCAGCCTGACTTTGCTGCTCAGAGGGGCCAATTGCACAAAAGCAGTGCCACGGCCCCCAGGCTCCCGTGCCATGCTCGGCCCGAGGAGTGGACCAGCCGAGCATGGGGCCCCAGTGGCCATCACAGTCATGGTGGTGCTGGTCGCGCTGGTCTGGCGGGTTTGGCACTGGGGCTTAGAGCCCTGGGCTGCCTCCAGCGCCCCAGCAGCCACACTGATCCGGATCACAGCAGGGGTGCCGGCTACACAGGCCCGACGGGCATCTCGCTGGTGGCTGGCGCCAACACTCGACATGGCTGTGGTGGCAGTGTTGGTGGTGCCCGTCTCGTGGGTCTCGCAGGGCGGGTTTGAGCAGCCGTGTTGCCCGGCCATGTTGGAGGTGGCGGTGGTGGCGGTGTTGGTGGTGCCCGTCTCATGGGTCTCGCAGGGTGGGTTCGAGCAGACTCGGACCACGCTACCATTCTGCTGCCCCACAGTCGAGGTCACAAGAGAAGCAGCTGCGTCCTGTCTGTCACAGACGAACTGCACTTGGGTGGGCTGGGGGTGTCCCCCAAGGTTAGCCACAACAGTGGTGGTGGCCGTGTTGGTGGTGCCAGTCTCGTGGGTCTCACAGGGTGGGTTGGAGCACACCAAGGTCACGGTGCCAGGCTGCACATCACCCTGGCCCGAGTCGGCAATGGTGACTGTGGCGGTGGGCTGCTCTGTAGTCGGAGAGGCCAGAATGGACAAGGGAGG